TTTTGAAATTTTGGAGGATCAAACAAAAAACTAATATTCTCGCCAATACCGATATTCATCGATATCCAGCACTATCGGTAAAAACGGTGTCGAGCTTTTGCTTTTAATATCTGTATCAACAAAATCGGTATCGGGATTCAAAAAAACCGGTATGATACCGCCCGATACCGGGCGGGATCCCGATACCGGCTAACTCTAGTTTTTATAGACAAACATTGCTTTTAAGGGAAGAGGCTTTTTGTTAAAAGTTTAAAATTTTCCTATTTGGAACTTGCTATTTAAAAATATTTTTAATGAGTTTTGGTGTTTTGCTTTAGGCACCGAATATAAAAAATTTATTTTCCTTCTGGGATGTAAATCGAAGAGATGTAACCTCCTGCATAGCTTTAGATGCTTTAGAATATTTAATAGATTAAAAAATTAATGTACATATTTTCTGACTTTATTTTTTCATATTTTCACCTTTTATCTAAAAAAGGGTTTAATTTCGGGCTTATTATATTTTTCTTTTGCTTTAACCTTTTTTACAATTGTTTAAATTGGGCAAACATTTACGATTGGGAATTTTTAATTTTTAAATTTAAAATTTTTAATTTATAAAATATTAAATAATAAATAAATATTTATGTCAAATAGCTATGTATATGTCAAATGAATTTACATTAATTTTATTTAAACCCACACCTAATAATTAATTTATTAAAGGCCAGTGAGGGGGGATAAAGGAAAAAATCTCAAGTAATAGAGTAAGTGCAAAATTAAGAGAGAAAAATTAAAAGGAGGGGAAAAAAGAAAAATTTTTAAGAGGGAAAAAATTTTTTTATTGACTAAAAATTTAAAATTTTGCACTTTATCCCTCCTTTTAATTTTTCCCTCTTAATTTTACACTTACTCTACTATTTCTTGGGATTTTGTTTTCTATATCCCCCTCACTGGCCTTTAATAAATTGATTATTAGACGTGGAAAAAATTGTTTAAAGAAAAATGTTTTTCTGTTTTAAATTATGTTGGAGAATTTAAACATTAATATTTTATTTAAATTTAATAAAAAACTTTTTTAAAATAATGTAAAATAAAACAAGATCATTTATTAAAGATGATATATAATTTATAGGCAAAATCACATCTTAAATTAATTTTATTTGTTGAAAGAAAAATTGAAAAAAGAACTTCAAATCTCATTTGTGAAGCGTACAACTTCAGTTATATATTTTTTGGAATAATTTTTTTAGAATAATTCATCGAATTATTTATTAACTGACAAACGATTTTCTGGCTTATTTAACGACCCTGATTTTGAAATTGTTGAAGACAGTGAACAATACAAACAATTGGCTTTAATGATGAAAAAATAGGAAGTAAAAAAAGAATAAAAATAAAAAAAAAGAATTGAAGAAAAGGAAAGAAATATACTAAATCACTTTAGGACCCGGTTCTTAATGCATATATTTGCATATTTTGGCCCTCTCGTGCATATTTGGATATTGCTGCATATTTTAACATTTTTTCTTAATATTGGTTCAAGAAATTTTGCAAATTCTGGTGGATATTTTGGGCCTTTTTCGGTGCATATATTCACATATTTGGCGATTTTCGGTGCATATTTAAGACCACCCTATTAATAATCATTTGTAAAGTAATGTAAAATAAGTATATTTAAAAAATTTATAAATATGCAGGTAGTTAGGATATTTTTGTTTTCATTTTAAAGCATTTGTTAGTGCAGATTCAACTATCAGAATTGTCTAAAAGATGCAATGTTTTTAGTTGAAGTGAAAATTAGAAAAAAGTTTACTTGAAAAATTTATTTTGGATAAATTTTGAATATTTTGTAGTATAAACTTAAGGAATCAGGAATTTTAAATTTTTTTGATTTTTAGATTTTTTAATAATTTTAATTTTGAAAGCTAATCATAGAAACTTAAGAAAAACTTAAGAAAATCTAAAAATCTCAAAATATTTACATAGGTATAGATAAATATTTGTCCATTAATATCGAAATTCAATCCTTGTTTGTTTAATTTAATTTTCATTAAAACATTAACCAATTAATTTATAAACAAATATTTAATTTTAAGAAAATTTGTTTATTATCAGATTTTTTTAGAATTAAATTACATAGAAGTAATTTTATAAAAAAATTTTTAAATTAAATCCTTTAAATATTTAAATCACTTTTCCAATAGAAAACATTAATTTTAAAAAATGAAATAAAAGTTAAATTACAATAACATAATCATTCTATTTTTCAATGTTTTTCTGATTTTGTGCATACCAGGGATGGGTCGAGTCGAGAAAGAAGTCGGGTCGGATTTCGGATCGAGTTTTAGAAATTTTCTTCGGATCGAGTTTCGGGTTTCGGGTAACCCGACCCATCCCTGGTACATACATGTTGTCAAATGTATCGAAAACATATTTTCTGACAAGTCGTTATAATTTTGAATAAATTATCAAATTATTTTTTTACTTAATAATTTATATCTCTCTAATCTCTATTACTAACATCTATTACTTTCCCAGTTTTTATCATTTTTAACAGATATTATATATTAACTTTTCTTTTATTCCAATTGTTCTTCCTTTTATTTTTGAGCATTTTATACCTCTTTTTTAATTCCCAATGGATTCTTATGATGCAAATGTCCGAAAAGAAGCTTTATCAAAAAAACAAAAAAAGGATTTTTGGGTAGGTTAGGCAATGGGTTATTTTTATGTCGAAAGAAGAAGGATATAAATTATTATCTCACCAAAAGTATTGATGCCTTTTAGTTTATAATGTTTTTAAAATTTTAATAATTTTTAGGATAAAAGTAAAATAAGCAGAACGGAAAATTTCAAATAATACTTTTGTTAGAGACCATACATATCCCTCCATTTTCAACGGGGAATATACACCTTCGGTAGTACGATACGGTCCGGGCCTTAATTTTTATTTACGCAATCTGTTGATTATTACTTAGTAAATCTTTCATTATTTGTTTTAACTAAAGTTTTCTCATTGTTCAATCTTTTATTAAATTTTTGTAATAATTTAACCGTTCCAAGCGTGGCAATCTTTGAAGACCTATAACTTTTTTATTTCTATATTACGTAGACAAAATTTGGTAATGTGAGTGGTGAGATACTGCCTTTCGTTATGATTTTTTCAGTAATAAGTTGAATTCGGCTTAATTTTTGCCGAGTTTTGATATAAAATATAATTATTTTATTACATATTCAAAATTAATGATTAAAAATTTTATTCATTAAGATTCTTATTTAATTTTATTTCCTCCTCAAAAATTCTTCTAAAAAATAACAGACCCACAAAAATTATTTTCTGAATTTTCCACTTGAATAGCTTTTATATTTTTTGAATAAAAAATAATAATTTTAAAATGTGGCAATTATGAAGATTAAATTTTTATTGTTTTTTTGTTGGGCTTTTAACTTTTTTTTTACTTCTCTTACTCATTTTTTATTTATTGAAACAATTATTTTATTTTCAAATAAAGTATTATGATGTAATAAAAAATAGATTATTTTTTAAATAAAAATGTCATAATTTTAGGTTTTTATTAATTTTTTTAGTTAAAATTTAATTATTTAATTTTATAACCCAAAAAAGATTATATTTTAATTTTTAAAAAATCCATAAAAAATATTAATCAAAAAACTATAAATTTATTTTTAAATATTTTTTTAATCTTTTAAATTACAAATTAGTATTCAATTAAATAATTTATTTTTCCACAAATTTATTTTAAGTTTGTAATCTCTTTCCTTTTTTTAAAGAAGGTTTTTAAGAAAGAAATTTTAAAAGAAAAGTTTTTTTTATTTTCTTTAATGGAATTTTTTGGAATTTGAAACTTTGATATCTTAAAATTTAAATAAAAAGTTTAAATATTTATTTGAATAATTTCATTAAAAATTAATTAAAAGAATTATTTATTTTCTAAAATTCATAATTCTCTTTATATTCTAGACAAAAAATATATTTATTTACTTTCCTTTTAATTTTTAAGTAAATATTTTATTTTTAAAAATTTTCTCACTTTCTTTTGAAATTTAAAAGTGCTCTTAAACTGTTTTAAAAATTAAAATAAAACGTCCAAGAAAACGTCCAATTTCCAGATAATCGGAATTTTTTCCTTTTCAAAGCTTTTAAGTATATAATGGATAAATTCACACACCTTTAGAGGGAATTCACACATTTTTAAAGGATTGGGGGGGGGGGGAGGGGGGGGGGTAGGGGTGTTCTTTTAAAAATATTCTGATGATATAGGTAGTTAATATTTGTTTGTGAAATACTAGAAACCTTTAACACAAAAGAATTTAAAAAAGAATAAAATAAAATTATTAAAGAGATATGACGAGGGTGAGGGGAGAGTGAGGAGAGATATCCTTCTCTAAGGTGTTTTTATTTTTATTGCAAAAAGGAAGGAACAAAAATTTTTTTCTTTTATAAATAATATTTTAGATAATTCTCTTCAATTCTTTTTATTTTTTAAAATAAATTTGCTAAATATTTTTAATGCAAATATTTTTATTAAAATATGTATTATTTTTAATAGTAGAAAAAAATATTTTATCAAAATTCATTTAAAAATATATCAAAATAAAACTCGGCTAAGTTTAGGAAAGGAGAAACCCGAAAAAATTTTTTAAATAAAATTTAGTATTTACAGAAAATAGATTTTTAATTTCGTTGATTAGGGAATTAAGAGCAAAAAACAAATCAAGAGAGATTATTTTAATTTACTTACCTTATTTCCTCAAATAGAACCCCACCCTCTAATACAGCCCCACCTTGAAGGATAGTTGAAAAATAAAGCCCCATGGGGCTGTATTAGAGGAAATACTGTATATTACATATACTTTAATTTTATTTTAAACTTATTTTGTATGTAGATATTTTTTCTCTCGATAGATTTATTTTAACAAAAATTTTCATTAATATTTTTAAAAAAAAATTTATTTTAAATAGAGTATTTAATTATTATTTAAAATACTTTTTAAAAATGAATATGGCAAAGCTTCGTCAAATTTTAGAATTTAGAAGAGCTACAAAAATGCCTCCATTACTGCCACCTAAAAGAAGCAAAAAGTTTTTTTTATAAAAAATTAAAAAGTAAAATAAATAAATAATAATTTAAGGCAAGATGAAGGAAAAAGAAATAATCAAAGAGAAATTTTAGATATTCATTTAAAATTAAGGTAATATATTTAAATAAATTTAAAAATAAAATTTTAAAAAATAATAGAGAATTTATTGGAACAAGAAAAACAGAAAATGGAGGTTCTAGTATTGTTTGTGCTTTTTCTGAAAGTGAGGAAACACAAAGGGGGCCATGGAAAGTGGTAAATAATTTAGAGAAATACCTTAAATGTTCTAATAGAAACCCGGCTCCAATAGAAGCCCCCATGCCCTATTAGAAGCTCACCCAATCCGACCCATTGAAAAATAGATCCAGGACTTCTATTGGAACATTTACGATATCTAATTTAAAAAAATTAATTTTTTAGACAACAGCAAGCGAATTATTAAATTCGGGGTTTGGCAAAAAATATTTTGAATTACCAAATGTTTTCGCAATTGAATTTCAATTAGAAAGACAGCAATATTTACGTTTAGATATTTGTGATTTACTGGAAACACAAAATGAAGCAAAAAGTTTTGGTTATTGTGTTTTTTCCGTTTCGGAATTAGTTTGTGCTAGAAATGGGAAAATACAAAGAAAATTAATGTAAATATATTTATTTAATATGCAAATAACTAAAAAAAGTGAAATAAAATTTTTAGTAATGACGAGACTGGCCAAGAAATTGCTGAGGTTGTTTTTACATTTTATTATTTGTAAAGAGAATGTGGGTAGCCTCCAATTTTTAAGATAATTCTTTTTAACTTAATAAAAAATTGAATAAGTAGAAAATATTTTGGATATCCCTATAAAATTCTTTAAATAATTGAGCTATGTAGGTAGAAGTGAACATATTTTACTTGATTATTTTTTAATTTCTTATTTCTCCACAAAAATTATTTTTAAAACTTTTCTAGGCCCTCCTTTCATGTACATTAAGGCCAAAAACCCATGCAATAATTCTTCAATTTGCAGCTAATAATTTATATAAAAAAGGAATTAATGCTACAACACAAGTATAAATAATAATTAATTTTAGAGGAAAATAAATTAATTTTAAGATTTTTTTCGAAATTTATCGACTTCCAATTGATGGTTGTTGTGAAGATAATATTGAATTTGAAAGAGGAAATAATATTGAGGATGAATTAAATGCCAATACTAGTAATGGACAAAGAAAAATATCCATTTCTGGTTCTCCTACAGAAATTAGTGGAACTGCAAAAAATAAAAGTAAAAAAATAATTTAAAAGAATTATAATTTTAAGAGACATTTATAGAATTAATGAGGGTTAATTAAAAGAAACAAAAAATTAAAGAGCATATTTAACTGCCAATTGGGTTGCGCCAGAAGCTCCAGTTCCGGTTGGTTGGCCGGAAGTACCGGGATTTTTGGTTCCGGTTTGTATGTAAAGTTCCGGTTCCGAGCAAATTTGCGGTTCCAACACAGCCCTACTGCCAATACATCTCAATTTAAGATATAATTTTTAGCCCCGAATTCTTTATATAATAAACAATTTCCCAATTTATTATTTTCTTTTATCCAGATTCATTAATTTATCGAAGTGAAAGTCTAAAGTGGAATTCTGGAAGAATTATTTGGAGAACCTTTACTCTGCAATCATCAGAAATTTGTGGAGGAAACCAGCAATTAAGATTTAGATGTTTACAAGAATTAGATCAATCAAAATTGCCAGATTCCCCTCCTCAAGTTTTGGGCGAATTTACAACAGATTTTAATAAATTACAGAGAGGGCAAGGATTCGAAAATATTTATTTTGTTTGTTTATTGTGTTATTTAATCTTTATTTAGTATATTTTTTAAGCTTAGTTATGAAGGTAACAGAAATAGAAAAAAGAGTGCTGGAACTTTTGAACTTTGTCGATTTCATCAAGTAAATTTTTAAGAAAATTAAATATTTCCCCCTTTTATTTCAGGCTTATAACCCCTCGTTTTTGGAATATATTTTTGCTGGTTCTTTTCTTAATTTAGCATTTGCTGTTGATTTTTCTCGTTCGGATTCTGCTGTAGATGAAAATAATTTGAGGCGTTATGTGAGTGATGTTGAATTATCTATTTCTGCTTTTGGAGAACCTTTGAGAGAATTTCAAAGGTTTTAAAGAAGAGAATTTCTTTAAAAAATATTATTTTTTTAAACCATTTTCAGTTCCAATTCCTATGCTGCTTTTGGGTTGGGTGCTAAAATTCCTCCTCAATTTAGAGAGTCTCAAGAATTTTGTTTGGTCAGATATACCCTTTTAACTTAAATATTCTTAATTTGTTTTTAGAATTTAGAAACCGATCCTTATTGTAGAGGCCTTTCTTCAGTCTTCTCTGCCTTCAAAACATCATTTGTTAATGTCCAACCATTAAATATGGCACATTTATCTCACGTTATTTATTATGTGGCAAAGTTTGTTTATTTAATTTTTTTAATTTTTATTTTTTAAAAGATTGGCACAAAATTCTCTTTCCCGTGCTTCTCCAGCTTTATCTTCTGGTATGGAAACTATAACTGATTATAATGCTCCTAATTATTTTGTTCTTGTAATTATAACTAGAGGAGTTTTTGATGATCTTAAAGAAACTGTACAAGTAAACAAATAAATTATAATCTAAAACACATAATTTTCATAACAAAGATTCTAATAATAAAATTATTTTTAGGCAATTATTTTCGCTTCTCGTTCACCAATTTCTATAATTTTTGTTGAAATTTGTAATGACCAAAAACGCGAGGAAATTACTGAATTGGAAAGACTAGCAACTGCGGGAACTAGACTAAACTATCATGGAAGAAAACCTGAACGTGATTGTACTCAAGTATAATCATTAAATTAATGATTTCAAAAAATCCTTCCTTTTTAAAGTATGTCTCAATTGCTTCTTGTCGTTTTGAGGAAAGTAAACCAAATGACCTTAAAGCGTTAATTGCTGAAAGGGGTCTTTCAACAATTGGGCAACAAATGTGTACTTGGATGCTTAGAAATGGCTACCAAAAAGTCCCTCCCACAGTTGATATGCAAATGTTGGATCCTATACTAACCGATGTTCCGGTGAGAATTTTTTTATTTGGATGATTCTCGGATTGATATTTTTTAGGTAATTTAATTTGAAAAAAATTTTTAATAAATTCAAAACATCTTTTCCATTTTCTGAGGCGCAAAACATCTCTCTCACCATCCAATCTAATAGAAGCGGCGAGCCATCAACATCAACAAGTTCAAATGCAACAACAATCAGTAGACCGACTTCCTGGAAACGTTCGTTATTCAATCAGTTTTCCCTACGACAATTTCGAAAAACATCCAAACAACGAAACCAAAATAACCAAAAACAGCTCAATTCTGCGGGTAACAGATCCACTTCTACCTGATAAAAGTTGTCTTGATATGTCAGAAATTCCAAATTCTAATTTCGGTAATTTTTCTTTTTAAGTTTTTGAAAATTGAGCTGAAATTAACTAGAATAAGTTAATTTTCGCCTGCGGCACTAAAAACCTGCGGCACTCATTTATGAGGGAACTTGAGCGAGAATAAATTTTTTTTAATTGTATTTTTGTGGCATACCAGATTAAAAAAATTTTCCCTCTATGTACTTCCAAATTCTACTCTTTATACTTACACTTAATTTTTTCTCGATCGCGGTACTGCTTTAATAGATTTCCTTTTTTCAGTTACTGTTCCTGTTAGAAAAAGTACAATAAATGCAGTAAAGAGGCAATTTCGAAGATTGGGTAAATTTTAATTTAAATTCCTCAATCTTTATTTGTCTTAAAAAGAATTAAATAATTTTGCCCTCTCATTGCCATCCTCACCTCGCCATTTAAACAATCTAACTTTGAATGGTACATCTCTTAGCACGGCTATGCGTCAACATTTGTCTGTGGACTCTCGATCTTCATCAGTTAAATCTCCTGGCCGTAGAATTAAAAAAGCAACAACTTTAATTCAATTTGAGAAAAATAAATGATATATTTTTATGACAAATATTGAATATTATACAAATTTAGATTGTTTAAAATTTTTTTGATAATTCAATATCGGTAACACTATTGTACATATCAAAAATTGAGCTTTGATATAAATTTTAATCAAATTTAAATTTTTATTTAATTTTCATTTTATTTTTTTTAAATTTTTGATCAGTTCATTTAAAATAAAATTTGAATTCTTTTATTCAAAAAATTCTGCATTTTCTTCAATTTTAATTATTTTTGATTGTGAGTATTAAAATTAAGCCATTTTTGACCGATTTCACTCTATTTTTGCCAAATATTAAAGTGGCTGCGCCATATTTTTGTTTTTTGGAGAATTGTCCAATAGCTGAAAATAAATAGTAATTCGTTAATTAGATTTTAGAATTCTCTTCCTTTACAGGGTGCGTCATAAGTAATTGGACACATGTTTTCTCTCATAACTTTATTAAAACACAATCAAATAAAATCGAAATACAATCAAATGATAGAGAATTAAATAAGGAACAATAATAATCAAGAAGATTCGAGATGCCCACCCTTGGCTTTGATACAGAGGCGAAGGCGCGAAGAAAAATTTTCGCATATAGCACGCACCTCTTTGAGTGTAATTAAGTGCGACTCCCGGCTGAGAGAATGGCGCAGAGACTCCAAACTTTTTTGAGGCTTGGCACAAACCCTGGACTCCAAAATAGACCAAAAAGAATTACCCATCGGGTTTAGATTCGGGGAGTAGGACGGCCATTCCTGAGCGCTAATGAACCCAGGAAAATTGGCCTTACACCAGTCCTGAACTTCTTTCGCCTTGTGTACCGGAGCAGTGTCCTGTTGGAAAATCCAGACTCTGCGCCGAAATGGCTCTTGAACAGAGGCTTCAGAACATGCAGAAAAATTTCTCGCAAGTAATAGTCTTTGTTGACTTTTACCCCAGGATCCACGAAAATAAGGGGTTTTTTGCCTGACGCGCTAATACCTGCCCAAACCATGACAGATTGGAGATGTTGGAAATGAGTGATAAGCTCATCGGAAAGAGGAGATTCTGTAGTCCAGATTCTATAATTTTGATGGTTGTGTACGATTTTTATTGTAAAAATTTTTTCGTCTGAGAAGGGAATGTCCGGACATGCGTGCCACTGAAGGAGCAGTTTGCATCTTTCAAGCCTAATTTTTTTGGGTTTTTCTGTTAGCAGTTTTGCTTTTTGGATTTTGTAGGGTTTTAACCCAAGTTTATTTTTAGCTATTCGTCTGACGGTCATCTCACTTATTCCGGTTTCACGAGCCACTTTTCTCATGGAGGGTCGAGAATTGCGATGCACCCAGTTTTTGATCATTTTAATATTCTTGGAAGTGCTGACGGAACTAGGTCTTCCACTTTTTTGTAGGTTCTTAGTTGTGTCATCATTACTAAATTAATTTAAAAAAAATTTTCTACCAAAAAATTTTCACCAGAATTTTTTGATTGTGTCTTGTACAGTGCTTTTTGGGACATCCAAAAGAGGTGAAATTTTGGGGACTGAATTTTTTTGCAAAAAAAAGTACAGAATCACGTTGACTAGCCATAATAGAGAATTGAATGAGCTAAAAAATAAGCCTAAAATCAATTAAAAATATTGAAAATAAAAAAAGTTATAAGGAATTTAAAAGTGTCCAATTACTTATGACGCACCCTGTACATATATCTAAAAGGCTTCAAGTTTTAAACAACACTGGCAATTGCGAATAGCGAACTGCTTGAAATCGGGTTTTTAAAATTGAATTGCGGGGTGTGTAAATTAAGTAATGATCTTCTAAATAGTATAAGATAATACGTGGAATCTCTAAATAACGACGTGGAAAGGGGTGTCGCTTTAAAAAATCCCACTAACAGTTTTAGTATAAAAGCTCACACTAAAGTCAGTTTAGTTGGCCAGATAACGGTCAAGCTAGCCACTGCCTGCTCCGGGCTCGGGCAACCTAGTTTGATAGCAATAGTTGCGTAGTTCTAGCTAGCCACTGGCTGCTCCGGGCTCGGTCAACCTAGCTATGTCTACGTTAACTAGTGCGATACGTGGCCCCTTTGTGTTAAGTTGTATTCATTAGTCGACACTTTGTGCAGACGGTGTTTCCTTAACCCAGGGCTCCGATTCGTACTTTTTTAAAAGTATTGTACTTTTTTATCGACCTTCGTACTTCCGAAATTGAATTTGTACTTTTTTGAAAGTATGTACTTTTTTATCAACATTTTTGAAAAAACGAAGAAATCTGGCTTAAGGACCTCCAAAATTCTCAAAATTTTCGCCTGCGGCGCAAAAAATGGAAGAAATCTGGCTTAAGGACCTCCAAAATTCTCAAAATTTTCGCCTGCGGCGCAAAAAATGGAAGAAATCTGGCTTAAGGACCTCCAAAATTCTCAAAATTTTCGCCTGGGCGCAAAAAATGGAAGAAATCTGGCTTAAGGACCTCCAAAATTCTCAAAATTTTCGCCTGCGGCGCAAAAAATGGAAGAAATCTGGCTTAAGGACCTCCAAAATTCTCAAAATTTTCGCCTGCGGCGCTGAAAAAGAAGAAATCTGGCTTCTTAGGCTCCAAATTTCAAAAAATTTTCGCCTGCGGCGCTTCTCAATGGCAAACATTCAATGGACGAAGGAAAGAAACTCGCTTGAGGTTAAGACTGTCAGAGCTTTGCTTCATGTGACAGCAAATTTTGACATGTCATGCAATGAAATGCACAAAATGCTCAGTTGAAACAAGAAATTATTAGAAAAGATTAATTTAGGAGAGAAATATAAAAGATTGATCACGAATAAATATTTTCAAATTTAATTTTGAGTGTACTTTTTATTTGCAAATTTTCTCCCTATGTACTTTTTTTACAAGATTTTGATACTTTTGAGTGGCATTTTGTCGATCGGAGCCCTGCCTTAACCAAAGGGCTGGGTATAGTTAGCCACTGCCTGCTCCGGGCTTGGGCAACCTAGCTATTACCCGGCTAGGTTAGGCAAAACTAGCCACTGCCTGCTTCGGGCCTGGGCAACCTAGTTGAACCTAACCCGCTTCTTACAACCACTGCCACAATTGTTGCAATTGTTGTCTTGGTTGAGTAGGTCGCTAGCCACTGCCTGCTTCGGGCTTGGGCAACCTAGTCCTACGGAAGTGGTGGAGTACAAGGTTTGCCCGTTTACAACTGTGTACCTCCTCGCGGTGTACTCTGGGCATTGTAAATCAATGGCTAAACACGGTAAAAACGGGAAAAGATTGTCGATTTTAAGTTTAAATAATCCCCGATAGTATGAATTAAGGAATGAATCAAGGATAAAACGTGCGGCACATAAAAGAAAAGAAGACAATTTTTATTAGTAGTCTTGTAGCAATAAGAGACTTAAAAATTTTTTAATTTTTTGGCAAAATGTTTTTCTGATGAAATTTTCATTTGAAATTGGTTATTTTCGTTTTTACGAATTTATCTTTAACTTTTAAGGGAATTATTTTAATTAATTTTATTTTTAGTTTTAATATTTAAATATTTCTTAAAAAAATTTAATGTCTCGAAAATTTTATTTTCTTCTTTTAATAATTCTGAGTTTTTATTTTATTTATTCTGCTAAACCTTCAATTAAACCTAAAAAGAAGCAAGCTGTTGTTTCTGATGATGAACCGAATCTCTATATTTTTAATGAAAATTTTGTTCAGGAAATGGAAAAGTAAGTTTAAGATATTTTTTCCTAAATTTTCACGCAGCGGTGCTGGCTAGAGGAATTCATTTAACCCCGACTATTATATCGAATGCTTTTTTCTCTTTTAATTACGGTTGCGCCCCGAACGCTCGGGGCGGATGTGTCGGGGGTTTTCGAATTGCTTCGGGTCGGGGAAAATCTGAAAAAATCTTTCGGGAACGCAGGTCGGGGTACGGGGTTGGGGCGCAACTCTACTTTTAATAAATCGAAAATTCCCGCCTGCCATATTTACTTTGATTAATTCCCCTGAGGAATTACTTAAGGTTGAGGAATTAATCAAGTTTGTTAAGTGTTCTATTAAATGCTGTCCAGCTCAGATTAGGACATGGATACGGATTTTGCTATCCATTTTTATTATTTTCAGCTCTTTAATGAATCTTACATCATTTAATCATGTTCGTTCAAGACTTGCTAAATTGGGTATCGTAATAAATATATTTATTTTTCTTTAATTTTTCTTTAATTTTTAAAGGCAAAATTGCTCTCTATCTTCGCCTTTACCGTACTTGGATTTATTCTCCCGCCTCGGGTTTATTTTTAATTTGCCTTACCTTTTTAAAAATAAAAATCATTTATATTTTTCAGGCCACAGAGGATTTCATCGTTACAATCCTTATCCTCCAGTTACTTTTCATCCTTATATTTATGGAAATTGCTCTAATCCAAACAACTTTATGGTTATTTTTTATTAGCAATTTAATAGCGGTTTTTAATTTTAAGTAGCTCTTTTAATTAGTAAGCAGTGCTTATGTGCTCGTATCAAAATTCGTACTTGTACCTCGTAATTGGTACGAGTAGGAGACCAAAAATAGGTGTGGGGGAATATTGGCTTCTGAAAATCTTAAAATTTGATTTTTCTTTATCCTTAGGCCTTAGAATGTTGGAAAGTTGAAACAATTGCGGGTACACAAATAACTACAATTCTGTTGACTTAGTCATCAGAAAATCCTCAAATTTTAGATTTTTTGCTTTTTTCTTAATTACGAGGTACGAGGCCAAAAATATGTAGGCAGGTACGAAATACGAGTACGAGCAAAATTGAGAAATTTATAAGCACTGTTAAGTCTTCTTGAAAGTTTTTATTTCGAACTTCAAGTTTTTTTTAAATTTCAGTCTTGTATCGACACTCTCTTCGAAAACATTCAGCAACGATCAAAATTTATGTTTCCAAAAGCTTATCAAAAAGCAGAAACATTTATTATTGAGTTTATTTTTTCTAAAATAAATTTTAATTTTAAAAATTATTTTATTTCAGAGAGGAGGATTTTTTACATAAAGTTACAAACACAAAATTTAAGTAAATTTAAAAAGAAAAAAAATTTTTTAAAAATTAATTTTTAAAGTTTTGATTTTTCTGCTTCTTATTTTCTTTGTTTTTTAACCAAAAATCGAGTTAGTTTTTTTGCACGTCTTCCCTTTTGCTCTTATGGGTTCGAGGAACATCAAATTCACGAGGTTAATTTAATATTATTTTTAGGGAGTGGCAAAACATGCAAATGCATATTTTGCATGCGGATATGCCATGAGCTGAAACGCTCAAAAATGGTGTTTTTAGGTCGGTACGAACATTAGGGACCGGGTTCCTATAGCATATATGTGCATATTTCGGTACTTTTGCACATATTTGCATATCAGTGCATATTTTGGGAAATTTTGCATATTTTTACCTAAATTTGTGCATATTTTGGCATTTTTTAAAAAATTTTAGTAAAAATAAGGCAAAATTTTGAAAATTTTGGAATTTCTTGCGCAAAAAATTTTTTTGAATAAAAATTTGTTAAAAAATTTTTTCGAAAAATTTTTCGGGAAAAATTTTTTCAGCAAAATTTTTTTGGTTGAATTTTATGTCAATAAAATCTTTTAGAAGTGCTCTAAAAAGCAAATTTGAATGCTAAATTTGCATTTTTTTACTTGAAATATTAATTTTTAAAGCACATTTTTATTATTTTTGCTGCATATTTAGTGCATATTTCGGCAAATTTGGCATGTTTTGGTGCATATTTTGGGCTTTTTCGGTGCATATATATGCGCATATTTTGGGATTTTCCGTGCATATTTTGCCACTCCCTAATTATTTTTTAAAAATAAAATTTTATTTTTTTAAAAGTGGCCAGCAATGGCTTTTCGTCAATTTGAAGATTCCCCTGAACTTTGGAGATTTGGGAAAAATATTTCTTTGGATCCAATTGATCATTTTAGTAATCAAATTGATTTTGAATGTGCTGATGTTAGGTATATTCCCCTTAAAATTCTCTCTCTTCAAAAATTTCTTTCCAGTTTTTGTCCAGATCCATGTTGTGGCAGAAACAGTACAAGATTTTTCCGCGAAGGTGATACTCATAATTATGCTTTTGATGATGATATTTCTGCAACATTCAACGACAGTATTCAAAATTATACTAAAAAAATGACTAGAAATGAACGTAAATTTGGGTGGTGTGCTCATTCAACTTGTTCTTTGAAGGTGTTTTTGATTTAATTCCTATGTTGTTGTTTAAATTCTGGTTTTTTGGGGCATTCTTTAAAACCATCAACTAAACTCGAATTTATTTACTCTGACATTGAGTTTTATTTTTTACCCGATATTTTAGAGAACCTCCTTTTTCTGGCAACATTTAACCATATAATATGTTTATTCTCTCTAATACATAATTAATAAAAACAAATTGTGTCTAATCCACAGAGGTGTTGTTTAGGGGAGGGGGGTACTCGGAAAGAGATTACTCGAAGACGAATATTTTGAAAAACTAGCGTTACACTCGGCTTACATAAAAATTAATATTTTTTAAAAATTTAAAGGGAAAACGGCATATAGATTATTCAGAAACAAAAGAATATTTTGAAGACAAAAAACTTCAAGAAGAAATTCAAAAAAGAAGTCGGAAAAATAAAAATATTAAAAATGGAACTGAGGGAGAAGATCAAATAATTAAAATACTTTTAAGAAGGGAGACTAGTACACATTATTGTTGTAAGGGAAAAAAGAATATTTTTTAATTAAAAAATAAATTTATTTTTTAGACTTGGAGGAGCCCTTCAATGACGATTTTCTTGGAATAATGGTTGTGATGTTTAAATTTGAAATTAAAATTATTTTTTAGGAGAATCGTTGGAATCTTAGTTGTGCTTGTGTTTTTCCAAATAATTCAATTGATCACAGTAAACTTTATCGTTTTGATGTTCTCGAATGTGTTGATGTTAATGAATGTATTTTTGAAGAATGTCCTTGTAATTTAAATATTTTTTTCTGATTTTTCTAAAAATAATTTTCCTCAGATCCAGAACAATGTGTTAATATGGTTGATAGATATGTTTGTGCTTGCCCTCCCGGTTATTATCGTCAAAAAGATATTACAAATGAAAAAATTGTTAAAAATGAAAAGGAAGAGGGGAAAAAGAATGAAGGAACTTGTGTAAAAATTTATTATAAGAGTATTGGCAGAAATCTTCCCAATAATTTGTTTAGTTAAAAATGTTTTTTTGAGATAATGTGTAAAGAAATTTTTTGAAAATTTTAATTTTTTAATTTACATGAATTAATCAAATTAAATTTTTCTGGAGGAGGAATAAACAATGTAAACTTTAATAAAAAGAAACTACATATAACACTTTTGATCTGTTAAAATCTATATTACAAATAAATTAATTATTTGACTGACTGTAATTTATGTCTCCAATTTTCAATAAAATTTTTGGTGTGCGGGGGAGTGTACATATTTTGCTTGTCGTTTAGTTCATTTGTCTTTATTACACCCAGTAAATAAGCATTTTTTAAATAAATTTTGTACTATTTCAATACTTCCTTAATTGTGAAGGTTTTTGTCTGTATTTATTTACCTACCTATTTACATTTTATTTACTTAAATACTTCCTGGACAATCTTTAAGGCTAAATAATAAAATAATTATTTTAATTTTTAATGTGTTAATTTCTTGTTTGAATATTTATGACTAAATTTGTTTCAAGATATAATCTGTAATTACCTATTCGTTATGTATTCTAAACTTTTTCTCTTGTTTCCATTTTTTTGTTTTTCCTTTTGTTGTCATAAAATGTTTTTAGAAATTCCATTAAATTAAATTACTAAATATTTTTTTAATAATTTAAGAATTATTTATTGAAGAATAAAAATCATTTTTTAGTTTAAATTTAATAAAAAAAACTATTTCCTTATTTTAGTTGTTGAGTTTTATTTAATCCAATTTTTAAAAAGATGAAACAAAGGAAAGAAAAAGAATTTTGTCTCTTTAAAGTTTACTTAAGTTTGTGAATAAATAAATTCTGTAATATTTCAATACTTTCTTGATTTTAGTTAATTGATGGACTCCCGATCCCGAGTTCCCAAACAGGATATGTTCCCAAAATTTTCCGCTCCCAATTCCCGCCTCCTGTATTAATTCCTGATTTAATTCGCGAAAACTTTAAATACAAATGATATTTTCTTTAAAAAATTTCTTCCTTATCTTATTCATTATTCCCAAAATTACCCCTTGTATAGAATTTCCCTTTTTCTCTTTTTTATTTTCTTAAGTTTACTTAAGTTTGTGAATAAATAAATTCTGTAATATTTCAATACTTTCTTGATTTTCTAATTTTAATTTTTTATTCACATTTTTAAAATTAAAGATTACGGACTAATTATTTTCAAATCATTACACAAGAAATTAAACAAACAAAAAATAAAAATAAATATCATATTCCTACATTTCCCTCTATTACTAATTATGCAAAAGAAAATTTATCCCTCAAAATTATTTTTATCGTTATTGTTTTAATAATTTAATTTTAAGTTCCATAAAGAAATGAAAAATAAAACGAATTTTCTATAATGATATGGGACATATTAATTGGTTTTTAAAAATTAAAAAAATTTTTTTTTAAATTAGTTTAGAAATAAATTTAAAATAAATTAAAAATATCTTTTAAAAATTCAAACAAATCCATTTTTGTTCAAAAAATATACATATTTATTTTAATATTTGCATAATTAAAATTCCCACATTGTTCTTTTTTCCCAAACTTTTTTTTCTAAAAATAATTTAAAACAATACCCAAATAAATATATTATTTCTTCTCATGAATATTTTAACGTGAAGGTGGTTATTGTGTAGTATGTATATGTTTTGAATATTAAATTTCAATAGAAAAATGAGGGAGTTTTTTTAATTTATTTTTTTTTGCAAAATCAAAAATTTATTAATTTATTCCCTATATATTTTTATTTATTTAAATTTACATTTTTTTTAATTTTATTAATGATAAATGTAAATCAGGGTGTCCCTTTCCAAAACACCAAAATAGGGCGAAGCTACTCAAAAATATGGCAAAAATAGGGCGAAATTGGTCAAAAATAGGGCAAAAAATAGGGCATTGTTTTAAACACTTAAGAATACTTAAAATTTTAAAAAGAAAGCTCTATGTATTATGCATATTTTTCAATATTTTAAACTAAATTTTCAATTAAAAATTTCTTTATCATTAAATATCAACTTGTGACTAATCTATTTTATTGGGGATATCCTCTTTAATCCCAGAATACCGTTAATTGAATTACCCTTAAGAAAGCAAATATCACAGATAATTCAAACATGATATCCCCTAAAACGTACCATCGATTCACGACCAAATCCCCAAATCCCCGTACCATAATCGAAGAATTCTTCCAATTTTCAGCGCCGCAGGCGAAAATTTTTTGAAATTTGGAGCTCAAGAAGCCAAATTTCATACATTTTTTGCGCCGGAGGCGAAAATTTTGAGAATTTTGGAGGCCAGGAAGTCAGAAATCCTTAATTTTTACCATTTTTTTACAAAATCCGAAGAATTTTTAAAATTTTACTAGATGATAAAAATAGGGCAAAAATATGGCAAATGAGAAAATAGGGAAAAAATAGGGCGAAATTGTCAAAAATAGGGCAAATGCCCTGTAAATAAGGCAAAAGGGACACCCTGATGTAAATATAAATATTTAAGTTTTTTATTTTTTTACAAAAATAATTGACTGAGAAGAATTCTTATTTCTTTACTTATTGTCGATTCACACACTATTACTAACTATTTAAAAATATTTTAAACATTTTATCGTAGTGAGAAATTATGAAAATAATTTCATAGTGATTTGAGATAATTAAATAAATTTCTTTAAAAATTACCAAAATAGAATTTTGATAATTCTTAACAAGAATTTAATTAATTAATTTTAAATTAAAACCAAAATAATTATTTAATTAGTTTCTTCCTTCATTTAATATCATCAAATTGTTCTTTAATTGATTATTTAATCTTTTCTATATTTAAATATCTTTAATTTCTTATCACGTCATTCTTTACTACATATATTTAATTAAATATACACATACCACCCTCACATTTATTTAATATTTATTTATTTTTTTACACAAAAATAAAAAGCAAATTCCTGCCAGATTTATCTTTTCTTTTTCCTTCTTCCAAATTCTTTTGGTTTAAAATAAATTCTTCTTTTAGTATTTTGCGGAAAAAAATTGCGGATTTTTTAAAAATATTTGGAAAATTTTAAAATTTATTTAATTACTTAATTCCCATTTTTGACTAGAAATTTTTTATTTGAATAATTTTTTAAAATATTTTTTGTAAATTATTATATAACCTATATTTTTTATGACATATTCGCTTCATGATTTTAATCTGCATTTTTTCTATAAAATAAATTTTTAGAGACATCTTTTTTAATTCTTCCCAAATTTAAATTTTATTTTGTATAATTTACATATCTTCATAAGTAATCCTTGTGGATACAAGAGTTTATTAATTTATTTACTATTTGTATTCAATAAAGAAAAAAATAATTATAAATATTTTTACAATTGCCATGATATAAAATAATTGTTTATGTAAATATCAGTTTAACTTTAAGACATTAATTCTAAAAATTATTCAGATATTTCTATTAAATTATTTAAATTTATTTCCGGTTATTTCTTCCAAAAATCTGCAAAAATTATTTAAATATCCGCAAATTTATTTTCTTTCCCATTTACTAATTTATTGTTGTCAAATTCTTTTCTTTTTAATCCACCCTCACTTTTAGCAATTGGCCCAAAAAACTTTTAAATACTATTATATTTTAACTCCTTCTATTTAATTCTCATCCTTCTTTTCCTTCTTTTAATCCTCCCCGCTTAAAACAATACGTATAAATTTTATTTTTTTTTGTTATCAAGTCAGTAGATATCTAAGCATATTTAAATAGGTATTTATTTTGTTGCTCAACAGTTATTAATAGAGGCCGGATTTTCATTGATATACCTAAATGTTTTTTTTTGCAAACACGTCTTGTCGAAAGAAACCCAAAAATGTTTTTTGGTATTATGATTTTGGACAAATTTGTATATCAATTTATTTCGATATTTTATGGCCTTATTTGGCGATTTTATTTCAATAAAAATCCGGTCTATAGTTATTAATTAATTAAAAAAAATTTTTTAACAAAATAATGTTTAAAAATATTTATTTTATTAAATTAATTTTATTTTTTTATATTTTTCTTGTTCTATTTCTAATTTTTTTATAAATATTATATTTTTATGTCAACAAAAATCTGTGTGATTTTATTTATTTTTAGCTACTAAAATTTTTTTGCTTTTTATTTTGCTCAAGAATCAGTTTTTTTAGAAACTTTTATTTTCTTTTTTTAACCACCCTCACTGTTCCTATTTTTCTAAAAACATTAACAGATGTAAATAAATACTCATAAATATTTTTCTGCAAATATACTTAAAAATATTTTTTGGCCCTTCAAAAAAATATTTTTAAATGATTATGAAGATTTGGAGATTGTACACAATCAAGAAAAAATAAAAAAAGAAAAAATATTAACAAACAAATAAATAAATAAATATATTTTTATTTATTTTATTATCCACCTTCACTTATATCCACCCTCACTTTTCACAAACAAATATTACTTCATTTTTTCTTGATCATCCCTCAATCAAGAAAAAAATATAAGACAGTTGTTAAATAATATTTTTAAAGTTTTTTGGCCAATTGCCTTATTATAAATAAATTAAAATAAAAAGAAGGAAGGAAACTTTGTTTTTGTTAATTATTTTTATTTGAAATTATTTTTTAAATTAACTTCCCTTTTGTTTTTTAAATAAAAAATTTTTTTGTTTTTAATTTTTTTTAATTTTATTTTTTATTTTTCAAATTCAACAATTATTTTTTAAAGTTGAAAACTTCAAACCTTTAATCTCTACCCAAAAAACTTTTTTATTTAACCTCGTAGACCAGCAAACGTTTTTTGGAAGAAATATTTCTTTCGAAGATCAAGGATGGAAGAAAAATAACCAACTGTTATTTTTCCAACCTTTGCTCGCAAAAAAGTTTATTATAACCCCAAAATTCATTAAAATATTTCTTCTTCCGTCTATAATCTTTTCTTGCTTTTTTTTCTTCTAAAATCAATTTATTTAAAATCTGTCTGAGAAATTTAAAAGTTTGGTTAATTCTTTTATTTAATTAACAATTTTTAAGTAACAAAAACAAAACAAAAATATTTTTGAATATTTTTATTAAGATGGAAAAGATTAAAACTGTAATTTTTTGTAATGTTTGAGTTTTATTTTGTCTACTTTTTATGTTAGAATTATTTTTGATTCTACCTTTTATTTCCTTCTTTTTTTGATAACTTAATTAAAGTTTTTTTCTATTCTAATTAATACATTTAAATACTAATTAATTAACCCTTTTTTTAGAAATCCTGACATTTTTTGAATATTTTAATCTTTTTAAAATTTATTAAAATTAGTTATATAGATAATATTTAATTTAAAGCTTTATTTAGTCAACTAAAATTTTCTAAATTATAAAAAAAATATTTTTTTAAAAAATATTATTTATTTATATAATTTAAATTAACGCAACATAAATTTATCTTTTTAGTACATTATAAATATATTTATTTATTTGTTCCGGTGAAATTAATCCTTGAGAAGACTTTTTTTATAAAATATTTTCTTTTCAATTCTTTAAAAAAATAAATAAAAAGTGTTAATTTTTAGAAAATAAAAAAAAGTTTTTTTTATTTTAAAAAACAAAAAAGAAATTCTTGTAATATTTAAAAATATTTATTTTTATACATACAAAAGAAATATTTTTAAATTATTTAATTTTTTAAATAAAAATTATTATTTACTTTGTCTGACTTTTTTTGTTCTTAAAAAACTTTAAAAATGTTTCTTTTTTTGAAACAAAAAGAAAATTTATTAAAATACCAGGAAAAGTATTTTTATTCTATTTTTACATTTCCTTAGCTAAATAGAGCATAGGTAGTTAGGCCTGGAAGTGTTTAACTGATTATTGGATGTTGCTTTACATTTTTAAGTCATAAGGAGACTTTTATTAGAAATTTTAATAAAGGATCATTTTTTTGTAATAAAAATAAATTTAAAAAATTTTTTTGGCAAAGCTAATTTTTTATTTATTTATTTTTTGCAAGACTTGCACCAACAAGCACCATATTTCTTGCCACCCACGCTTCTCTCCAAGACAACATCTCGGAAAACAATAAAAAATGTAAAGCAATAGAAAATATAAAGGGAAGGGGGTTTATTTATTTTTATGTCCTTTTCTGAATTTTTTTATCCGAATTTTTTTTATTTGAACAGTGCAATAATTTTTTATATTTTTAAATATCCAATTTATCCTCTAAACATTAAAAACATTCCTTTCTTATTTTTTTAAATCGTTAGGAATTTTCCTGCCTTTTATAAATGTGCCTATGTATTTAGGAATAACTTAAGTTTTATTCCCAAATATTAATTTAACTTTCATAAAATAATAAAAAAAGTATATATTGGGTATAGAGTAGATGATTATTAGAGCCCGAAGTGTTACGTACTACCTCGGTTAGTTTCGGTATTTATTGGTCTTCCGTATCGGTATTACGGCACAGAACACGGAACGGTCTAACAATTATTATTAAATTATTTGTTTTTTATAAAAATAAATGTCAATTAATTGTAGATTTATTTTTATTTGATTAATTTATTTATTTGTACAAATTTTAATTAAAATTTTTACAAAAAAATTTTTTTTATTTCCTATAAATTATATTCATTTTTTTGTAAAAAAATATTTATTTTAAGAAAAATAAATTGCAGTTTTTTATTTATAAATAGATATAATAATTTTCTTTCCACTCCTCTTTTGTTTTTTGTGCTTTTCTCGCTTTTTAGGTATTTTCTTTAAAATATCTCGTTAATTTTATTTTTTTTTGGAAAAAAATATTTTCAAATTTATAATTTATTTTTAGATTTTTGTTAAATTTATCATTTTCTAAAATTGTTTAAAGAAATACTCTAAAAAAACAGAAAAATATTTTCGTTATTCTGCAATTTACTAAACAATTTTAACAATTTTTCTGTTAAAACTAGGAAATTTTTTTATTTTTAAAAAAATTTTCTGGTTAATTTTTTATCAATTATTCGATTTAAGCATGTGATCTCTTTTTTCAATTAAAAGGCTTTCTGGGGACATAAAAACAATAAAATGTTTTTAGAAAATGTTTTTAGAAGAAGAAAAATAATTTAACAAATTATTTTTTGAAATTTATCTAGACAAATAAATCTTTTAATTAGTCTTCTTCTAAATTTTATTATACAAAAAAATATTTTTTTAATTAAAAAATAATATTCTATATATAATATAAAGTAATTTATTAAAAGGTATTAGGTTTGGCCATAATCAATTTACTGTTTATTTTTATTTATTTAATTAATTATTAATTTATTTTTGGAAATATTTAAGAGTTTTTATGACATTTTTTACTTAGCTACTTATTTATTCAAAAAATGAAGGATTTGAAAATTTTTATTTCCCTGTGGGAGTGCCTAAAAGGAAGAAAAAATGTTTAAAAAGGAATGTTAAAATTAATATGTTTGTATATATTTTTAACGTAAAAACAAGTGTTCACACTTTAAAAATAAACAAAACAATTACTTTATATAAACAAATTTATTTTTTCAATATTTGTTTAATTAATATTTTGTAGATTACATGGTGACAAAAAAGTAACTTATTTTTGACATTACTTTTGACATTACTTGACATTACTTTATTTTTGACATTACTTTCTTCAAATTCAAAACATTGAGATTTGATAAGGATTGAATGATAGAATAATCAAGAATTTTTGAAATACTTGCTCTTTTTTTGGATACAGAGTTCAAAAGGCGTGGAAAAATTTAGGTCAAAAGTTCGCACCTCGTTGTGTGAGACCCTGTATTGAGTGAAACCCTGTTTGTCACCATGTATTTATCCTTATTTACAATAATCTTTTTATAAAAATAATTAATTTTGCAAAAATTAATTAATTAAAAAAATCTAAATAATTTGCTAGTAAAATATTTATTTTATTACAATTTATTCTTTATTTTTATAACAAAAAATGACTAAACAAAAAAAAATAAATAAATCTAAAAATCTAAAATATTTTTAAGCAAAACAAGCAATTATTTTTTAGTCAAAAAATATTTATTTTCCTTTTCCTTTTTAGTTATTTTTATTAAAATTATCTAACCGTGACTTTAAAAAACAAATTTAAAAATAAATAACAAAAATATTTTTTTAAATAAATTTTTTTAATATTTAATGGATATCTTAATTTAGTTTTACATTTTTTTATTCCTGAATGTTAAGTGTATTTAATATTTAATTTAGACCAAACATTAATGCACTTAAGTAATTTATTTTATAAAAATAAAGTGATTTTAGAATTTATTAATTTTTTTAGTAAATTTTTTAAATAAATAATTTAATAAATAAATAGGACAAAAATTAGTTAAAAAAATTAAAAAAATATATAAAATAAAAATATAAATTTTATTATTAATTTTTTAATAATTTTGCAAGCCCTAATTTAATTTTAAAAAATTATTTTTTTATTCCATCTTATTATGTTAATTATTTTCAAAGAAAATAAGTTTTCTTTAAAAAATTTTGTGACCATTTTATTATTTATTATTTATATACTTTCTGTCATTTATCCTAAAAACGATTTTCTTTTTTAATTATTTTTGGCCGATTTAATAATTTTTGGCTTTTTAACATCTAAAAATATTAATTAATTATTAACTTTTTCAACAAATTTTTAGTATCAATTAAATAAATTTTTTGAATTTATTTTTGTCTGGAAGGTTTTTGACATGCAATTAAAGCAATCTTTTTATCTTTTAAATATTTAAATGACACGGAATTAAAATAAAAAATATTATTTTTTAATCATTCACCTTTAAGACTCCCATCTATTTAATTCACTCAATATTTTTACTAATATGAATATATTAGTTAATATATTTATATTTGTTCGGTTGCATGTTCTTTTATAAAATAAAAATTTAAATAAAAGCTTTAAATAATTAAATTTTAATTTTAATTTATTTTATTTTAATTATTTTTATTTAATTAAAAATTCCTTTAATAATAATTTTAGGATCTCTAATTATTATTTTCTTTATCAATATAATCCTTTAAATTAACCAGAATAAAAAGAAGAAATTAAAACAACTAAATTTTAAGGTTTCCCAGTTGCTCTTCCCTTATATATTTTTTAATGTTAAAAAACTATATTTTAGAGCTCTCGTAACTAATTTATGTATTTTATTTTCATGGCAACATAAAATATATTTTTATTTATAAATTTGTGGATTAAAATTTAGAAAAAATTATGTAATTAATTATTTTTTGACTAAATTTTCGATTTTTTAGCTTTACTATTTTAATCCATAGTATCTTGTATTTAAATATTTTTTTCAATTTTTTATGATTTTCTTTTTTCTGGAAGGTGTAAAGGAATTATTTAAAGAATTTTCTCATTAAAATACAATTTTTAAATATTTGTTCTTGCATTTTAATTTCTTCACATTTTTTAAAATTTTTATATCACTCACTATTTACACGTAAATCCTCTAAAAAATAATTATTTATCATTAAAATTCACTTAAAAATATATTTACATATTTATTTAACTATGAAGCGGAAATAAAAAAAAAGATAAATAAATATATATGGAGTAAATAAAAAAAAGTTCATCATTAGTTTTAAAAAAAATAATAAAAATTTAAACAAAAACCCTTGTATATTCATTAAAAATTATTTTTTAAAAAATATTTTTATTTTTCTTTTTGTCCTTTTTTTATTCTTAAAAAATGTCCTTTAATAAAAATAATTTTAAAAAAGATTTATTAAAAAATAAATTTACTTCATTTTCTTCCTCAAATCTTCAATTAACCACCCAAAAACAACAATTCCTTACTATCCCGCCAACAAAAAAACAACAAAAAGTTCCAAAATTAACAACAAAATTTAAAAGTTTAGAAGAAAGAAAATTAAATAATTTTGAAAAAATGAGGCCTGTTGGTGTTATTGTTGAAGGGAAACAATTAAATTTAAATAATCAACAACAACAACAATTTAATAACAAACAATATTTGCAAAGACAAAATGCTAAAAGGGTTAGTTTTTTAAAAAAAAGGAAATTTTGTTTTATATAATTGTCTGGACAGAATATTTGAAAAATAATTTTGTTAAAATAAATTAATAATTTAAGGAGCATTTAAATTTTTATTACTATTGTAAGTAATATGTGAATAATTATAGAATAATAAAATAAAATAATTTTGAAATTTCCTTTCTTCTAAAAATTAAAAATATTTAAAATTCTATACTTTATTAGCAAAAAGCTACTCTCAAAACATAAATATTCAAAATTATGAAAATAATTTATGATTATAAATATACATAAGTAGATATTCAATTTTAATTTGAATACAAACTAAAAATATCTACCTATATTAATTATTGTTCATAGGACACAAAAAAAGCCTGTAAACTTCTATTGTTCCTTAAAATTTCAATAAATTATTCCCCCATTTATTTTTTTTTCTTTTAAAGGATTCGACAGTTGCTATTGGAGAAACACACCCACCACCATTACCTAATAGTAATAGAGCAACAGAAACAACAGCAGCAAAAAGTCCTTCTCGTAAATGGACTTCTGCTTTTCGTGTTGTTCAGTCAATGACTCGTTTTAGAAATTTGCCGAAGGTTTTTTTAGTTAAATAAAAAAAATTTTTTTTGGTTTTTGGTTTTTAATTTATTTATTTTGATTTTCTGTGCCATCATCCTTTTGTTATTATTTGTTGCTAAAATAATTTTAAAAGAGAAAACACCAATGGGAATTTTAATAGAAAATTCTTTTGTTGTAATAGAGTCTATATTTAAAGCTAAATTTAGGATTTTAAAAGATTATTATGGAAAAGTCTTTTTTTGGAAGAATATTTGTGTTTTATATCTTTGGTGTTTTATATATAAATATTACCGTCAAGGATTTAAAGAAATACTTTATTTAATTACAGATTAGAGATCGGTCTGGATCTGGATCCAGTCTGGATTTTTCCTGGATACAGATTAAGAATCGCGCCCAGGTTACATACCTAAATCTAGATCCAAGATTTTTGAAAATACCGATCCCTATAACAGCAATATTTTTTTATTTAGTAGGTTTAGGTATGTTGATAATTAATCTCATTTACTATAATTATTTAATTTTCATTAAATTACAAATTCTAATTAAAGGTATAGAAGGGAAAAAGGGGGTGTAAATCAAAGCTATTACCAAAATTATTTATTTAACCCTACATTATTTAAATATTTTATTTAAACATTTTCTTTCCTTCTGATTTTTTTTAAATTTTTCTTTTATGTAATTTTTTTCTATCCCCGTTCAGCCGTAAAAATATTTATTTTTTCTCTTAAATTATTCTTTAATACACTTCCTTGTACTTTTCAATTTTTCTGCATTAATCATTCATTATAAATTTTTTTGTTTATTTTTACTTTTTTTACCTGGGCAGTGGTGACCGGAAAGAGAAAAAAAACAAGATGTTAGACCACACAAACTGTTTTTTAAATAAATTTTTACAAAATATTTTCACAGATAACCCAAAATATTTATTGAGCATTTTTGTCTTTTCTAAGTCTATTTATACATTGGAATACATTTGGAAATCCGAATTTCATTATTTCGTCTTTCCGCTTTGTTTCGACCCCTTAGATTTGACCTTGATCCTATATCTCTTTCTTTATTACTTCGGTTCAATTTAGTTAGATTTTTCTTAGACATTTCAAGCTCATTTACAATTTTTCTGCATCAAAATTAATCCAGAAAAATCCTATGTAAAATTTTATTTTCTTGAATCTAAAATATTCCATACCATTAGATTATTAAAATTCAGATTATTAAAAATCTTTTCCAAATAAATCATTTTAAAATATATTATTCATTACTTTAAAAAGTATTTATTATTTGTTTTTTTGTCTAAAAAAAATTATTTTAAATATTTTTTACAAATGTTTTTCGTGTCATGTTTGCATTAGCATGTCAATTTGTGTTTACTGGAGAAATAAAAAGGCAAATTGACACTGACGTGGTGACGAATTAATGAATTGAAAAATGTTCTTTTTTTTTAATTTTTGATTTTTAAAAGTTAATTTAAATATTTATAATTAATTAATTATTAAATATTTAAGTTTTTCTTTATTTCTCCTTTTTATTTAATTTAATTGTTTAGAGAAATAAATTGTTAATTATTTAATTAAAAATTAATTTACTTAATTTTCCATCCATTTTTCTAACTTTAATTAAAATTATTTCAATTCAATAGGAGTTATTTAGAGGACATAATATTCTTTCCCCTGATTGTTTTTATATTTTTAGGGGGCCCCTTCTTGATTTTAATTTAAATTCTTTTAATTATGATTTATTTATCTTCCTCGACAATAATTAATTCCTCCCTTTCTAAATATTTTTAAATTTTATACAAAAATTTCATTTATTAGAAAAAGTTTTTTTTGTCATGAAATGTCAAAAGGTGTCAATTACTTTATTTCCCAAAAGTACTAGTAAATAAATAAGTAATATATATTCACATTTTCACCCCACACGCAACTCAATATATACCCTAAGGCCTCCAGACATGAACATTTTTACTTTTCTGAATATTTGCCATTTTCTTAAAATTTATTAATGCTTGGACAAAGACAGACTTTTTTTAATAAATATTACACTTTTTGACACTGAAATAATATTAAAATAAAAAAAACTTTTTTATATAACTGAATAAATTTATTTTTTAAAGACTTTCACAATCACAATATAATTTTACAAAATTATTTAAAAATTAAATAAAAATTATTTTTTATTTACACTTTTATTTAATTTACATAATTAATTAATTAAATTTCTTTATTTTTCTGTTTATCTTCTTTTAAGTATTTGTTTTAATAAATAAATAAATAGGAAGTTCCAGGAAGAGTATTTTAGAGTTGTTTTTGTTTATTATTAAGAAGATAAACTACCCTAATATACATTTACAAAAATGGCAAATATTCGGATATATTAGAGAGTGTAACGATTTCCATACACAAGTAATCCCCTTGACTTTCCATTTTTTCAATTAGAAATTTTTTTTTAATTTCTAAGAATATTTTTGGCTCTTGTTTAGTTTATTCGTCCAAGTAACTTTATTGGTCCAATGAAAATTTATGATTATATTCAATGAAAATTTATAAGTACATTTGTGGATCAGGGGATTAAGAGGATTTTCTACTGATATCCCGACATCCCTCCAAGTATCTTGATATTGCTAACCCATCGATATCCCCCATTTAATCTTCTAATTCAAACGATATCTCCATTAATCCGCCAAATCTTTCGTTATCCCCCTTAATCCCTTCAGATCCCTTATTAAATTTGTAAAGAAATACTAAAAATTTTTGATGATAAAAATGTTGTCTTTTTAGGGTCATTATGACTTCAGGGTGTAGGTTTTCGGTGTTGACGCATTTAAAATTGGATAATAAAATTTTAATTGGACGCATAAACTAGACCTGCGCCATATTTTTTAATAAGTTAATTAATTCTTTCAAATTCTACACAAATATTTTAATATTTTTTCTCAAATTTATTCTTATTTTTCTGCATAAAAAGTAAATATTTTCCCATATATCTACTAATTTATTATTCAAGAATATCCTTTGTTTTTAAAAATATTTATTTCCTTTTCTTAATTAAACTTTAAATTTTTTTCATTTTCTTTCCAAAATTTACTTAAATCTCTAATTAATTAAATAATTTTTTGATTAATTTTTTTTATTTTTTTGGAAGTTTTTAAAAATATTTTTTTATCAATATTTAAATAATTAAAGGGAATATCTCTCTGTCATGCAAAATATCTATTTTAGAATTTAATAAAAAAAAAGTATCAAATTCTAAAATTCTCTACTCATTTTCTCTCCCAATTAAAATGGTTACTTTACGTAAAAACTCTGAAGGGAGACCACCTCCTTCTCTAATTATTCGACAACAACAACACAATCAACATTTAAATAATAATTATTTTCCAGAACAACAACAATTGGTTAATTAATTTTTAATTTAGAAATATTTTAATAAAGTTTTTGACTTTCTTTGAAAAATAGAAAAAATATAAGAATTTTATTTAAATTTCTATTTAATTAAAAATTGACACTTTACTGTCTTTTTTAGAGGAAATTTCTTAAAAATTTTAAAACAAGTGATGGGATAACTCTTTAATTAAATTCGAAATAAAATAAATTTTTTAATGATTAAATATCGACATCATATTTTTAAAGTATATTTATTTGTATTTATTTTCTCCCAAAATTATTTTAAATAATTTTGTCTAAAAAATATTTAAAATTTATTATTAACCAATTTAAACAAAAAAAGTCAAAAAAAACAATTTTCATTTATCATTTTTATTTATTTATTTTTGTCTCTCAGTGTTGCCTATTACCTCTTTCACAAAATAATATTCGACGTTCAAGTCTTCAACTTTCCAAACCATCAACAACAATTAATGAAAAAGAACAATTAGAACATATGGAAATCCAAAAATATTTATTTATTAATCAACAAAATAATTTAACAAAAAATAATTTTTATTTAAAATCAAATTCCCAACAATTAATTATTAAAAATGAAGACGAAGAGAATAATCGCCGTTTTCATTATCGTAATCGTTTTGCTTCTTATGGAGGAAAACAATTAATTGAACAAAATGTTAGAAAACATTCTGTTGCTGCTTTAATTTATAATAAACGTTCACAGCAACAGCCACAAATAATTCGGGCAGAAAGTCAGGAAGGGGGGCTAGAAATGTTTTTAAGACAACAAAAACAGAAAATTACTAATTTCTCCAAAATTTCAAACCAACAAATGTGTTCTTCCCACCCTTCATTAATTAATAACTTTTTTAATCAACAAAAACAGCAGAATAATACCCCCCTTTTTCAACCAAAACTTCACCGTCGCCAACTTCCAAAAGCTTTAAATATGGGAGGATTTAATGGTTCCCCTGTTGGATATTCCTCTCCTGGAGGTTCTTCTTCAAATAATTCCCCCTTGGGGTCTCCTAAATGTTTACAACAACGAAAACTTCAATCTTCCTCTTCGAGGCATTCAAGTCCAGCAAATTCAATATCTGGAAGTCCTTCATTAAATCAACAACAACAATTTTATTTCCATCCCTCTACTTCAAATACCCAACCACCCCCAACACATCGCCAACTTCCAGAAATTTTTTCTTCCCAAAATCAAATACAAGAATTAAAGAAAAGACATTTTTCTTGTTGCCCTCCTAATTTTGATTATTTTTCTGTCCAAAATAATAATTTTAATTGTGTTGGTGGCACAGAATTTCAAAATATAATAAAACCTCCTAATTCAATTAAACGCCCAAATATCCCTCTTCGTCGTTGCCCACAAAGTGATTTAGCATCACGTTTTCAGAAACATCATTATCATTATGGACACCATCATGGAGGGGCTGAGGCAGGTGGAAGTAGGGGAAGCAGTTTTTCTAGTTCGACTGAATCTACCCCTACACGCTGTTTGGCTATTCAATTGGATGGAACTGGTAATTATTTTATTTTGAATAAAATTTTAATTTAATTTTATTTAATATCTATGGGTCTATTTAGGTAGATTAGATCTTAGGTATATACACTCCAAATAACAACCACAAATATCAAAAATAAATATTTGAGTTTTATTTTTTTATTTTCCCATATTTGTATGTAAAATAAAAATAATTAAATTTCCGGTAAAACTTAATAGTATTTACAAAGTAGCTTAATTCTCAATAAAATAAAAATCTTATATATATGTAATGTACTTATAGATGATTTAACTAATTAAAAAATACTTTCTTGGCAAAAAATATTTTAACGATTTTATAATTTTTATAAAAAATGTATAGAATGACCAGAAATTAGTGTTAATAACTTTATTCAAAGTATCAAATATCTTAAACAAAATATCTCTAATTTATTGAAAATTGATAGGTACATATATTTTTATTTAAAATTTAGAAACAGAAATTGTGGATCCAGTTTATTTGGCACTTAAACAGGCAACATGTAGATATGGAAGTAATGGCTCTCCTTTGGATGTTAATGGGGGAGGAAGTAAAACTGGTAATTCTTTTTCAAAATTTAGAAAAATATTTTCTTTCTTTAAATGTAGGAAGTCGTCGTGGATCACAATCAGCATTAGCTATAGCTAATAACGACATTAATAATGGCAGCACTCAACTTTTGTTCGAATCATGCACTCCAAGCCCTCGAAATTTAAGCCAAACATCATTACACGATTCCGGTTATGCTGGAGGTGGTGGGAATGGGCTTCTTGGATGTGGTTCTCGTTCTTTACTTGTTTCTGGTTCAACTCCCCAGTTACATGGTGGGTTAATTAATATAAAACTTCTGCTTATCTCAATTAACCTTTTACTTATATCAACCCTATGTTATCGCTTTCAATTAATAAACCTCTCTTTTATCACACCCTTTGGGTGTCCATGACTTTCTCAATTAAAAATATCACATTCGTCTTAATGTACATACATACTTTATTTAAAAAATAATAATTTTTATTTCTTAATTCTTTTGCTAATATCTTCACTTTTTATTATTTATTTAAATATTAAAATTACAAATTAAATTAATTCAGTTTTGTTTTAAATAATTCCCATAAATTTTCACAAGAAAGTCTTATGACTTTTATTATACACCTGTTTTAAATAATAAACAATTAATTTGTACTTTATTTAAAAAATAATATTTTTTTAATGCCGTTCTCATTCAAAAGTGCAAAAAATGTTGGGGAATTATTTAAATAATTATTATTTTGTTTATTTCACGCAGCTTTTTTCTCCAAAATATTTTTTTGTTTAAACAATATATAGGTAAATATTTGTGTATTATTTAAACTTTATAATACACAAATTATGTGGATATCTATATTCAATTAATCTCAAATCATTAATCATCCAAATTATTTTTAAAGTCCCCCCCCCCTCCTCTCTCAAAACCTCCACCTTTCCCTTCCTTTTTTATGACTTTTCTCTTAATTTACTTTATTTTTAATAGTATCATTCTTTGTCAATTACTAATTTTCGTTTCCTAGAAACAAATAGAAACAGCAAAAATATTTTACTAATAAATTTTAATACATATTTACTATTAAATTTTTTTTCTAAAAAAATATTTTCTAATAGAAATCTCTAACCAAAAAATTCTTTTCAAACAAGTAACCTTTTAAATATTTTTTCTAGACCATTAATTTTTCTAATTTTTGTGTTAATGTAAAAATAATTTTCATAATTCTCTAACATTCTTAATATTAAAAATAAAAATATTTTTATATATTAAAATAATCCTAATCCAAGCGTCACCAATTTTCTCTATTATAAAATTAAAAGATGTTGTTAATCGCTACATGTCATTAAAAAATATTTTAGTTGTCCCATCATTTCTTTATAAAATTTTTTTTTGAAAAAAAATTTAAAAGAATTTCCTTTCATTTTTTTAAAATTAATTTCTAATAAAAAAATTTTTAATTTAAATAAAACAATTAATTAACTAAACAATAAATAATTAAAACTTTCTTATTATAAACAACTTCTTTTATTTAATTTATTTAAAACTTTATTCAATTTAATAAAATCACATTTAGTTCCAAAAATTTTTTTATTTCCGCTTTTTTTATTTCTAAAATCCATTTTGTCTGGTACTAATTATTAGAGAGATTGGGGAATAATTTTATTAATTTTTAACATATTTATATAAATTAATTGTTCCTTAAACACCTAAAAATTAAAATTAAAAAAAGAAATTATTTATTCTCTTGAGGGGAAAGGAATATATTGAAAGATTAATTTATTTTGGTCTGTTAATTTTACATTAATTAAACCAAAATTAATTTAGTGTGAGAATAGTTGATAAAAAAATTTTGTTTAATTTATTTGCTTAATATTTTCCACCCTCGCATTAATCTTTATGATTTTTAAAAATTATTTTTGCTAAAAATAATTTAAACATTTTTAATTAATAAACATAAATTAAGAATTTTTTGACTTTTTTTAAGCATCAAAAATTCAAAAACCAAAAAAAAATTTGAGAAAATAAAAAAGATTTTTTAAATTTAGTAAATTAATAACTGTAAAAACCCCTTTCTTCTAAAAAAGTTATTTGAATAAAATATTAAGTTTGTGAGGGTGTTTTGAGGGGGGTTGAGGGGGAGAAAGAAAGGAATTAATTTTTGCTTCAATTCTCCCATTTAATTCTTTCTCTCTTTTTTTTATCCATTAAAAACCACTTTTCTGAGATTTTCTTATTCAATATTTTTGTGAATAATAAATTTTTAAACATTAAATTTTATTTTTTATTTTATTAATAAACCAAAAATTAATTTTAAATAATTTTTTAATAATTCGAAAAAATGTTTTTAAAATTATTAAATTAAATTTAATAATTCTGACTCATTTTTAAGTGCAACTAATTTATTAAATTACTATTAATCCGTTTCTGTATTGACTCTGTCTACTATGTATTATAAAGTACTGAAATTTATTTTAAAGTCTTTCTTCACCTTTGCGGAAAATTTTTTTTATTTTCCCATTAGGTTAAATACATATTTCCTTTTGTTTATTTGCAATATTTTTGCTAAAAAATAATTAAATATTTAATAAATATTTTTATATTTTTGATAATATTATTAAAAATATTTTTTGGAAAACCCAACTTGTTTAATATAAACTATCACGCAAAAAATCACAAATATTCTTTTTTATTTACTGCAATAATTAAAATCAAAATAAAAACTTTAACAATTTTTGCATTTATTTACAAACTTTTGTTTTAAATTATTTTTTCTTCACCTGCCAAAGTTTTCTTCTAAATTGTAAATAAAAAAACTTTTTACTTCCATTCATTTTACTTTTATTTTCTTTCCCTTTTCACTCCATTAACAAAGTTTTTAAGCTGGCATTTATAATTTGTTTAAGTTTCAATGGCACCAAACATTTTTTATTATATTAAACTAAAAGAAAGTGTTTTTCATTTGAAGTTAAACATTTATTTGTTTATTAAATAAATTAATATTAAATATACATTATAATTTTTTTATTTCTCTCCCTAATACGGTCTTGGTAATGGATATGTCTGTATTCTCTGTAAATATCCGGATCCGGATACCAAAATCCCTGCCCATTACTAAGTCTTTATATATTTAAAATATTTATTAAGGATCTGATTTTTAGGGTGTTAAACCTTTAAAATACCTTAAATATTTTTCTGGAAAAAGTTTACTTATTTATTCTTTTTAACAAGAAAATTGCAATAAAATTGCTTTTTGTTTTTATTTTGGTATCAAAATACCTCAATTAAAAAGTTATTTTTGGTTAGTAATTTTATAATCCCCTCCTTCCATTTTTGTTTTTTTTGCATAAAATGTTTTGCTTGTTCCATATCTAGTTTGGCGAGAAAATATTTTAATTTGGTTTAGAAATTAATTTAAAAATAAATATAATTAAAATTTAAAGAAGAGAGCTAAAATAATTTCTAATTTTTGTGATTTTTTGGACTGCCTCTCCCTTTGTTTGGGCCTAGTTCTCCCTTCGTTCTTCATAAATTCACGAATACCTATTTAATATTTATCTGATTTTTGATATATTTTGGGATTTATTTTTAGATTTAATTTTTTGAAAATTTTGATTGGCATATTCCTAAAATTACTCTAAAATTAAATAAAAAGCATATTTTTATTTACTAATTGTCCATAATTAGCAGCCAACCTTTAACCTTTTCACCACCTCTTTTCATTCCCCCTTTTTCAAAAATTTCCTTAACAAAAATTCAAAATTACTTTTCTCCCCCCAACCACCCCCGCCAAAAATTTTTTAGGGAATGCCCTTACCCTTTAAAATTTCTTTTTTTATATTACCTCTCCCTCTCCCCTTACTTTCATTTCACTCATTCTCCCTCTTGTCTTCCTTCATTTTTTCCACCCACACTTTTTTGCCAATTCAAGCAGCCCATCATCCCCCGCTGCTTTTCATTCTTTTTAATTTTCTTTTCTTCCCATAAAAAGCTAATATAATTCCTTATTTCTCCTTTTACCGGTTCCTCAATTATCTGCAAAAAGAATATTTAGTAATTTTTGTTGATTCCAAGAATTTTTAAGTAAAATTAACAAAAAAAAAGTTGAATAAAATTAAAAGCTTTTTAAAAATATTTAAATTTTTTTCAATTAAATTCTCAATAATTTTTTTTTGAATATTGAGTTATGAAATATTTAACCAACCAGTTTATTAAATAATAGAGGGTTTATAGAGTTAATTAACAATATTTTTTATGGTAAAGCTTGGCTTGATTAAATTTTTTTCAATTTCTATGTCGATTTCTAAAATTGAAAAATACGGGCCAATTTTTAGCCAGGTCAGGGTGACCCTTTTACCACTTTTAGGGGGCATTTCCCCCTTCTTGACCCCTTTTCTATATGCCACCTTTTTGGCCAATTCCCCCCCCCCCCCCCCCCCCCTTATTCCCCCTTTTTGAGAGGTCATGTCCCCTTTTGGTGATTTGGAGAGGGCACCCTGGGTCGGGTTCTAGTGCACAAATACATATTAGTACTCTTTAAATTAACTTTATAAAAATATTTCCTCTCTTAATTATTAAATTTAAATATTTTTAAAATTAAAAAAGATTAACTTTTTTTAAACTAATTCTGAAATAGAAAAGCACTTCTAATGGGTTACTAGGATATAAAATGAAGTGATTATTAAAAGGAATATATTAAGCTTTTATTGGCTTTATTGCTTCCGTCTAAAATATATTCCCCTTTCATTTTAAATAAATGTTAAATCAGAAAAAAGTTGAAAGTACAAAAACTACATAAAATATTCACGAGCGAGTGAACCCGGAAATTCCATTGTTTTTCATTTATTGTCTCTCTAATATTATTAAAGTACTAAATTTCTAAAAATGGAAGAAAAGCCCATTATAACGAGACACATAAATACATATACCTATTATTGACTTATTTTTTAAAAAAATTCTCAAAAATTTCTCAAAAATTTTTAGGAATCGGTAACGGTAGCGTAGTCGGAACAACAACAAATAACAACAATATTTCTATTAATTGTCAGCAACAATTATCCCCAGCAACAAAACAACGTGTTCAACAACAACAACAAACAAATAATACTCAAAACGGGGGAGGAAGACGGCCAAAACTTAGTGAAAAAATGAAGTCCCTCTCGTTGGATTGTGCTGATATGCCTCCACCCGTTCAAATGGGTGGAATTGGTCGAAATCAATATTTTAGTATGTTTTTTAAAGATTATCTTAAATCCCTCCCTAATAACACTAATTTTTCAGAAGGAAAACAACTTCGTTCTGCACGAGGCTATGCCGCCTCAGGTGAAAGTTTTGAGAATTCATTTGAGCGTAGTGAATCCCCGCCATCATCAAGGCCTACTCCAACAAAAACAACGCAACAATTGACAAGAAGATTGCCACCAGCACCCCCAATGACTGGTTAGTCTTTTCTTAATCATTTTTAGTAATTGTTTTTTTTTCTAGCCCCAATTCAACAACAACAACCAATAAAGCCAAATGAATCAGCTTCTTCACGTCGTTTAATGCCCCCAATTAGTACACACATTGTTATTCATGAATATGTAAATGGGGAATGCTCTCTTTTCCTTGGCGATCGGCTAGTTGTTTTGGACAATGGTGATCCAGACTGGAAACATGGATTTAAAGTAAATGAGTTTTTAGGATTTATTATACTTCGTTCTCTCTCCCTTGCCTTTTGTAATTTTTTCACTACTGTAATGTACCAGTAATTTACTCTAATAAATTCGAATATTCTGAAATTTTCCAACTTCTTTATTTTCTAGGTTAATGACCGTCTCCAACAATTATTCACATTTCCAAGTACCTGTATCACCGCATTCCAACCTGACGAACAACCTATGCGTTTAACACAAAATTGTAACTTGGTGGAACAAAAATTGCGTCTCTATAGAGACCAAGTAATTTAACAATTTATTTTTATTTAATTTTAATTAAATTTTAAGGTTGTTTTTGTTCAGCCAAACTCATTACGGGAAGATGGACGCGTTAATGTACGCAACGAACATGGAACTTGTGCCTATTGTCCTTTGCAGTATTTAATGCTTATGTAGAATTATCTAGAAGATAAAAAAATATTTTTTTTAATTTATAAAATGAAAAATAAATCATTTAATGATTTTTGAATGTTTAGTTAGAATAAATTGAAATAATGCATGGTTATCCAAAGATAAAAAATTTTTCAAAAAAATATTTTTATAAAACGTCTGTGACTACATATGCATTATATCAATAAAAACATTTTTTTTTTCTAGTCAAAAATATGTTATTTCTCAATTGTTTTTAATTTTTATCTATTCTCAATGTATTATAAAAAAGGAATCTTTGTGTAAAATTTTTTTGTCCTGATGAACAACCTATGCGTTTAATACAAAATTTTAACTATTATCAGGATCTCTTCCAGGAAAGCGTATATTAGGATTTAAATATAAAATTAGTCCAACTTTTAGACAAAATTTTCAGAAAAACTAAGGAAAGAAAAAAAACTAAAAGCATTCATTAATGTTTGTTAGAAGTCTCAGGCCTAACAAAATTAATTGACAACTTTTGAAAGTCCTTAGAAAAATATTTAAAAAGTGTGTAATTAAATTTGCGACTTTATTATAACTTAAAAGTAAAACAAAGTTTAAATTTCAATTAAATTTTTAAAATAAAGCTCCGTAAATATAACACTAAAATAAAATTACCTACTTATATCAATAAAATACAACAATATTCTACTCTTTCATAAAAGTTCTTTCAAATTTTGAACAAAAAATTCTGGGATAAGTGATTGCTTTCCCTGCATAGCAAAATGTTTAACATCTTCCATTGAAGAAACACCAGTTAGAACCAAAAGAGTGCTAAGGCCTGAATTACGTCCAAATTGAATATCCGTCTCACATCTTTAAAAAACAAATAAATTTTTATTTATTAAATCATTAATAAATTACCTATCGCCAATCATTAAAGTTCTTTCTCGTGTAAATGAACCAGCAAAATTTTTACAAATATAATCCCAACAGAAGGAACTTGGCTTTCCCATAACTATTGGCTCACGTCCAGAAACGTATCTTAACATTGAAGTTATCTGAAATTTAAATTAATTTTTGAAAAAATTTACGAAGTTAAAAATTTGGGAAGCTAATAAATTTCATCAGAAAATTAATGTGAAAAAATTTTCATTTTCGCCCCACCACAAATTATGTAATTAATATTTTATAAATAGTAAATCAAAATAAAAAAATTTAATTTTAACCGTTCCAGCTCCAGGAATAACAATATTAGGATCTTTTCCGGGAAAACGTGCATCTTCGTTTGTCACAAAGAATGGCATTTCATCATCATGCAAATAGTTTACTGCTTTCATAATTTTTGGGAAGCTAATGTGCGAATCGAATGATCCAATAACTGCTAAAACAGGCTCTTTTGTGACTAAATCAGAAGCATTGTCGAGAGTGAATAACTAAAATATTATTGAGAAATTCATTAGATAACAAATTTTCAAACCTTTCCGTCAGGCATTGGATCAGGTCCAGTTCCAATTGACTCAATTCCACGCTTCCTAAGAAAATTTTCCAAACCCGGCGGTCCAATTAAAAAGATTGGCAGATGAGCTTTGGATGCAAATTTTGGATCTTTCTTCATTTGTTCCAATTGATCCACAAGAATTAGACTTGGACAACAAACATCGTTAGATGTAAAGTCTAAATTTTTTAATTAATTTAATTTTTTTAAATCTGTTACTAGAAATAAAAGTAATATATATTTTTTGTAGGGAAAAAAATTAAAGAATTCTTAAATAATTTTTAGCAAAACAGACATGAGTCAAAACTAAGGCTGTATTATAATCAAATTCCCCATACTATGTAATTAACAAGGTCCGTAAAAACAGTCAGAGATTAACCAAAACACGAGTTCAAATGTTAAAATGAGAACAAGAAAATGATTCTCCACTTCCCCCCCCCCCCCTAAAAAATTTTCCGGGCCACGGGCCTGAATTTGATTCCAAAAAAATTAAAAATATTATAAACAAACTTGAAAATCCCAATCTTTTAGCTTTCTCTGCATGTCCAACAGGATCACGAGAAGAATTATTTGTAAGTATAATTACTCGCTTTCCAACATCTGACAATTGTTTGACTAGATCAATGGCCCCAGGCAAAGGATTTTCATCACGCCACAAAACACCATCAGCATCGAATAAAAATGTGTCATAAGATCCAAGAATGTGTTTAGCGGTAGCGAGTCGAGGTAATTGAAATGCTGGAGGCGTCATTTGTGTGCAATACTAAAAATTAATAAAGGAAAGAACAAAATGCCAATTAAAATGTTCAAAAATTAAAAAATTTCAGCAGAAAACGCAGGCCTCAAAAATTTAAACTTGGGAAAAAGTTTGTACCAGGGATGGGTCGGGTTAAAGAAATTCGGCTCGCATTTCGGATCAGAAACTTCAAAAATTTGGACAGATCGGGTTTCGTATTGAAAAAAAGGACCAGATTTCTGGAAACAAGACTCATCCCTGGTTTTCTCCATTATGCGGCTTCTGATTAACAATATTTAAATATTCTTTGATGAAATTAAACATCCATTTGTACATAAATAATTAATTGAAGATTTATTTAATAATTAATTGAAGATTTATTTAGGCATAAATTGTAGTAAATTAATTTTTCAAAATAAATTATTAATCAAAAATAAATTAGAGATTCTTGTGTTTAATGCATCGATGCAGTTTCACCATTCATTTGAAGAGATTTAGCAGTCAACGGCACATATTTGACATCCGCTAAATTCCGCCGAACAATATCTCCATTGGGCATTTTGTCTATTTGCAAAAATTGTTGATTGTAAGCGCCCACTGGAATAACCATTCGACCACCTGCCGCCAACTGATCAACCAAAATACGTGGAAGTTCTTCTGATGCAGCGCCAACATGAATCGCCTAGAAAATAAATTATTTTAAATTAAAGAAAATTTTTTAAAAACACAACCTGATAAGGTGCTGCAGCCGGCCATCCCAAACGACCATCAGCGACTAACAACTGAAGCCGGCCAGAAGAGAGCAGATCTGCATTTTGTTTACGTACGTTGACGATTGAAGCATTCACTGAAAATGATAAAAAATTTTTATCCAAAATAAAAAGTACCCAATTCCTCAATATGGTCAACACCAATAACTTTTCCACGCGGACCAACAAGCTTTGCAAAACAGGCTGAAAGATACCCAGATCCTGACCCAATATCTAATACATGAGAATCATTACCAATAACATCTACAAGATGCTCTAGGGCTATTGCATGCATATGAGGAGCACTAATAGTCGCACCGTAACCAATATACTAAAATATAAGAATCAAGAGGAGTTCTGTGATAGATGGATAACACATTTCAATGTCCCGTGAATTAAGAATGAAGTGGGATTCCAGAATATATGCCCTAACACTACATCCCGTAAGATTCGTATTTTGTTAGAATATGTAAAACACCTGAGGCGTATCGTCATAAGGACGTGTTGGCGCAAAATCAGCCCTATCAACAGCAAGTAATGCAGATATTGCCCGATCCTTGGTAACAAAATTGTTTCTACGCAGGTTTTCGACAAGTTTCCGCTGTGATCCTCTATTGCTAGAGTTTCTATAGCTGGAAAGAGCACCGTTACCCATCAAGAATATAATAAATATAAAACGTAGTATAGTAGAAAATATAGTTTTAGCTACAATAAATCGAAATAGGTTCATGTTGTTTTGTAGTTGAATTAGCAAACGGAAATTTATGAATAAGGTTGATTCATAATAAACATTTTTGGATTTGTCGACCGATTTGACTGGAATTCTTATAAGGCAATATCAAGGTTTTATTGAGGGCACTCTAGTGGCACTCTTATTGGTAGTGCTCTAGTGTCTCGCCTTCTAAGGGAAAAGGACGTTTCAGTATCGCTGATTCAGACGAATATTTATACTTTCCTGATATTCGTCCGATCGAATAATTCTAATATCATTCAAAGGTCTCGTAATCCGGCATCTTTTTCATAATTGGCCCGATCTTATCTATTAATAAAAAAAAGTACAGCCTGTAACAAAAATTATGGCCAAAAAGCCGAAATACTGAATCGGCTGATAATGAAACGGCTATACTGAATCGTCCCCCTTCCCCCTTATAAAAAGAATTTTTGAACTAAAAAGAATTTAAACAACTAAAAATAAAAAAAATAATTTCGCCTGCATTTGTTCCTAAAATCCACTCATAAGCATTTGAGATTGTTCTTTTAGCCTTTTTGCGTTGATTTTTGATTTTGCATTGCGTTTATTGATAAATTTCATTATTGAACAATTTTACGCAAAAGTTATATTAAGAATTTTTGGAAAAATATGAAAAAGCCTGAGTCCGATTCGGAATCCATTACATTCAGCTGTACGAAATCCAAAATCCTGTTTCCTGGTTTAGAAAAATGATTGTACCGGATACTACTAAAGATGATTTTTAGACAGCATTTGAGACTTTTAGATTTGGGTCAAACTAATATTTATAACTTTAATTTTCATATGTTTACAATTTATGAATTAATTTTTAGAGATTTTTTAATTGCTAACGGATTCAGATCAATATGAGTTCAACGAACTTTTCGCGTCAGCGAATGCAACCGCCGCCTCCTTATATTGGAAGCAAAATCAGCCTCATTTCTAAATTGGACATTCGGTAAGGTTTAAATTTTATGGCTGGTTTTATCAAGTTCTAATTGCTTTAAATTTAAGTTACGAGGGGACTTTGCACAATGTTGACCCACTTGAATCTACAATCTCGTTGCGAAACGGTTTGTTTGATTGTTTATTTGAATTGTATTATTTTCACATTTAGTCTATTCTTATGGAACCGAGGACCGTTTGACACCTGTTTTCGTTCCAAAGAGGAATGAATTATATCATTACATTGTTTTCAAGGCGAGTGACATCAAAGACTTGATTGTTTGTGAGCAGCCAAATGCGTTGAATATGCTTGGAAATATGTCTGCTGGTCTTCCATATGATCCGGCAATTGTGTCGATTTCAATGAATCCGCCTCCAGAGCCGAAGATGCCTACTAAATTAAATATGATGGGTCCTCCTAGAGTTGGTGGAATGAGTGGCAATGTTGGAGGGCAGCATACTACTTCAGGTATTTATTTGCTTGTGTTTAAATAAAAGATATGAAACTACCAAGTTTTCGTCAATACCGTTTGTCTTTCGATATTCCCCCGAGATATTTCAAGAATATTTTTTGAGATTATCAATCTCGAATGTCCATGTCATTTTAATTTTGTTAAATTTAATTCCATCTTTTTAGCCTTCGACAAGGATTACGATTTTGAGAAGGCGAATGAACAATTTCGTGAAGACTTGAAGGGTGGAGGTGTTAATTTGGAACAATCAGAGGAGAAAAATGAAGCAACAGACAAAGAGGATGGCTGCGAAGATGGAGGGAAGTCTGTTAATTCACTTTTGGCTATAACTGCAAGTGACAAATACTCGGAATATTATAATAAGCACAATTCATTCTTTGACAACATTTCCTGCGATGCGCTTGAGAAGGAAGCTGGGTTAGTTAAAAATATTTTAAATATTTAGTAATGTAGTTAAAACATTTTGGGGTGTAGGGGTCAGTGTATCGAAACCTATATATCAATAGGTGCTAGGGGCTAATACTATTTTTAAAATTTTGTGTAAATTCAATTCAAATTTTGCAGAAAGAATGTCCGTCCAGATTGGAAGAGGGAGCGTCAAACCAATCAAGAGACTTTTGGTTATTCTGCCGTTCGCTCATTTTTCTTCCAACGCCGTGGTGTTCGACGTAATTATGGAGGACAGCGTTCATTTGGGGGGCAGCGTTCGTTTGGAGGACGTCCGTTTGGTAATGGAGGGAATCCATTTGGGAATCAGATGAACTTATTTGTTTGATGACTATACCTAAATATATTATTTGATAATGATAAAATGTTAAATTATGAATGAATAAAGATGTTGGAACTGTTAAATCGTGTTTTTTGTTTTCAATTTGAAGTTAACAAGTCATTTTCTTTTTGAAATATTGCCTCCATATTTTTTGTGGCAAACTGCCCAAATTGATCTTTAATTTCTCTACGTTAGTATTTCTTTTCATTTTTTTATTTTTGTTTGCAAATATTTTCAGATTATTACAAATTTTTAATCATGATGAAGAGATTTGGAATTTATACTTCTTTCTTCGAATTTTTGTTAATAATTTTTACGATTTCAGCAGTCAGGTTTATATTTTAGAATTTTTTTAATTGGCTGAAAAGTTTAAAATTATGTTTTGGACTTTTTTTCATCTTTATTTTCGTTTTTGCTTATAGAATAATTTTTAGATTTTTTAACTGGGAAAATTTATTTTATTTAGAGGTCCGAAAATTGAGCATGACTCTCAAACAGGAGCTTCTGCATCTGCTTCGGGTTCATTTCCAATTGTTTTACCACATAATGAACTAAAGCAGGACGGCGCCAAATTTTATTTGGAAGGAGACGAAAAGAACACTTGCCTTTTATATATTGAATCGATTTCTGTTGTGTTATATAACGTAAAACAAAAAATGTCTGCCTGGGCGACCATTAATGCAACTTCTAAGGGAGCAACATATAGTGGTTCAATTGAATGTCCAGCAACTCATAATACAGGACAGGAGTTTAAGTAACTTGGTTTTTAAATATTACGGGACTGTTTTCTCAGGGCTTTTAAATTTAATATTTAATTTATTGATTTACTTCCTGAGGGGATTTTTGAAATAATTTTTCGGTTGCTTAGTTTTGATCCCCCTTATGTCTTGCTAAGCCACATATCTCGTAATTTGTTTTCCTTTTCTAGAATTTCATTGCAAGCAAATGCTGGCGGTGAAGGTGTTTCAGGCTATTATATTGGTGATAAAAAGAAAGTCATTTTCCGGTTAAGCAAAGTCGATGTGGAGTAAGTTTTTATTTTTATTAGTTCTTCAAAATTTTTTCTATTTAGTTTAATATTTAACTTTACTTCATCGGCTTATTGGGAGTTGGTAAATGCTGATGTTAGAACAATAAGTTTAGATGGCGCAGAAGAAGGTGGAGTTCCGGTTAGTTTTTTTCCGTTTTTTTACTTTATCATACTCCGGTGTTTTTTCGTGTCAAATGCATATTCCTTGTCTGACTGGTAAATTAAGTTTTAATGTAACTTACAAGAAAATTTTGAATTGTGGTAATTCTAGAGAAAAACAATGTAAGAAGTGAAATTATGTGAAAGTTTTCTCATAAAAATCCGCAAAAATTAGGTTTAGCGATTTTGTATAACGCATTTTTCTCATTTTTTCATCTCCCTAGAAAAAATGAGGAAATGCTTTTTCGATATGTTTGTAGAATAGTTTTCTAGTAGGTAACCGAGTGTACTGGGTTCGAATTTAAGTCGCGTTTATTTATTTTGAATCCCGGAGCCGAATTTGAATTCAATTTAGAAATTAAAATTTAATGCTAAACTGACACGTTGCATGTTCCTAAAATTTATATAAATTTATGAGTTAACACTTCTAGTAAAATATTTAATATTTTATGAGGATATTTTTCTCTAATTTAGAGTGTCGATAACACCTGGCGACTTGTTTCTGGTATAAGCAGTAACAATAAAGGATGGATTTTCACAGACAATCAATCTCCGGCCTGGAATATTAATGGGTTTAAGGATTATGCCTTCTCTTGTGGCCGAACTAGTCCAATTATTTGGGCAAAAGATGATAAGGATGAAAAAAGCTTAGAACATGCAGTTGGTTTGGCTTTTCATAATTTACAAGTTAGTATTTTGTTACTTAAATTTTCAAATACTTGGTTGGCTTTCCCATTTTTATATTGGTACTAGGATAAAATTCCATGTTCTCGGGATAAAATCTCGACTATTTTTGAATTTTCAAAGATATAATTATTTCCTTTTTGGGTATTCAATTCCAGGCAAACATTTATTTAAAGGGTTTTCTATTTTTATCATTTCTGAAACTAATTGCAAGTAACAACTTTATGAGTTAACACTTTTAGTAAAGTATTTAGTTGAGGATGTTTTCGGGATACTAGGATAAAACCGGATACTAGGAAAGAAATTATTCAAAAATTCTGTTCAAACAATGAGCCGATTTGACGATGATTCTTGTGGTTGCAATTATTTCAATTGGAGTTTTTTCTCTTACTAATATAAATATTTTTTAGTTTCAATTGAATTCAACTTATATTTCTCCGGATAAAAAAAGAATGGCAAAGTTTGGCTGGCGTGTCAATGATTGTGCACCTTTATTAAGTATTGGTACTTGGATGATTCTTGTGGTTGCAATTATTTTTATTGGAGTTCTCTCTTTTGGATTTTTAATGCTTAATTCTGTCCAAACAATGAGCCGATTTGACGACCCAAAACAAAAACAGATAATTATTAGTTCGAAAGAAAATTAGTGATTTAAGTTTGTATGACTTTAACTAAACTTTTAGTTTTTTCTCTTTTTTGGATCCCTTTCTTTTAAAACGTTTAAAAAAATTCTGTTTAAAAATTTTTGAGGACAATATTTTTTGGTTTTCAGAATTTTTTGAAATTAAAAAACCAAAAAATGATTATTCAAAATTTATTAAGATATGCAAGATTTTATTCTTCATTATTTAAATTTACATTTTTAAATACATGTAAATATAAAAGCGAAATTTTAGTAAACATTCCAATAATTACATTAATTGGTTTATTTGTTTTTGATTAAGAGCTCCTTCATATATTTTAAATCCATCAATTAATCCTCTAAAATTTATTAAAAATAAATTAAAATTTTTTAAATAAATTTTTTTTAATTTTAGGAATAAAACAATACCTGAAATAAGGTCGATCATAGGGACGAATATAAAATTGAGAACGTCCAAGCCAATTATTTGTTGTGTTTCCAATACGGAAAGGCGGCATAGGATTGTTGGTTTGCCCAGCAACTGTACCATTTAAATAAAGAGTTAAATTCTCCCCAAGTTGTGTAACGGCCAAATGAATCCATTTATTTACACAATCTAATGATCCTTTGCCTTCAAAATTGTTTGGAAAATTTTTTAGAAAAATAAAAAAGTTTTTTTCTTTACCCTGAATTCCAGTTTCAGCAAATTCCCCGCCAACAGTACTTTTAAAGTGCCAATTTCCATTACTGATTTGCATAGAAAATGCAATATAACGACCCGGACCTGCTCCAAAATCAAACAAACGAGCATTTTTTGGAAGTTTCCCGTTACAGAAAAGCTAAAAAATTAAATATATTTTTTACAAGCAACGAGTTCTGATACAATTTTAGTATAATATTCGAATTTCAATTTTCGTACTAAAGATTAAGTAACGGTCTTTCATACATTTTGACAACTAACTATCAAAAAACCGCATGTCATGTATTCTTTTGAACGGTCCTCGGTCCGGTGATGTCGGACCTACTTCAATCTGGTACCATTGTAAACTCTAACAAGTTTATTAACTAGATTGCCCAGGTTGATCTCGCTTGCCACCATCAACAGTGCGAGGGCCTAGTAGTTATTTTAGTACGATAGAATCTAACACAGTGCTTCCTCGCACACACTTATCTTTCTATGTCAGCCCTACTTCGATCTCGAGGAGTATTGTGTTAGATTCGACTGTATTTTCATAATAAAAGTTTTCAATTTATAATTTACCCAAGTAGCAATACTATAATCAGACAATTCACTTAAAAGATTATTTTCAAGTTCAGCATATTGCGTATTTCCATTTAAAGAAAGTGCTGTCTGTTTTCCTTTAATTCCTACACCAACAGAAGCTCCATTAAATAATTTTATAGAAAATTTATTTTCACTCAAATCAATTGGTAAAGATTCATTAGATACATTTTTAAATGAAAGACTGAAATATAATTTTGTACCAATAAATGCTTTTGCAATATTTGAAGCTGCACATGTTGATCCATTGGTTAAAACCTTTAAAAAAGGGTAAATAAATTAATTTATTAATTTATTTTACTCTGTAATAAAATGTGCCCTTTCCTGGGGAATCTGTATATGTTAATATTTGTGTTCCAATTTTTTTCTTTATAGTCTTAAATTTATCATTAATTGTTGTAGAACGTTGAATCTGGAGAAAAATAAATTTAAAAATAAACTATATTTTTATTTGAAAGGAAAGTTAAGAAAGGGCTTAGCTAAAGTTTAGCCGCCGAGCAAGACTGCGACCTCTTCGTATTTATTGCTAGACTGGTTCGCTCACCACATACAGGAGCTCTACCACTGAGCTACGGGACATCGACGAATGATTTCTTTTTCCTTTTTAAGTCGTTTAACCCCCGCCTAACAAATAGGCGTTTTAAATGTTGCTAGGTGGATCATTCTTACAGTTTTAAAAAGTTTTTAGAAGAATTTTGTTTGATAAAATTATCCGAGAAAGGATTTAACTTCGTTATTAAACCTACCGAATAATTTATTGCATAAACAGGGCCCCACCAGTTCAATTCTACTTTTGTCCCATTCACTCTAGCTGTTAGCCCTTCTGGATAGCAAGACTCAGAAATTGTATCTTGTTGGTAGAGAAGTGTTCCAAATCCGAGGAAATCATAAGAACCTCCATTACCCCCATTAATATTGCCTGAGCCAACTAAAATATAAATCTAATTATTTCTCTCATTTTCTAATTCAAATTCGTATTTCTAACCAACTTCTTAATAATTATTTTGCTTACTTTCTGGACGCATTGCTATAGCATATTTCTTTGACCAAGGTGCAGAAATACCCATTCTATTTTCATAATGATTATAAATAAGTGACCATATTGGACGATTGTTGCCTTTTCCTGGCCCTAACATTGTTTGTACAACATCATTTCCGTAATAATTAGCATAAGTAATATAAGGAACATCGGCAAAACCTTTTTAATTTTAAATAAAAATTTGAATTATTTTAAAAAATTAGAAACCAGATCCATTAAAGTTGTAATTGACTTTAGCTGTATATTCAGCCCCAGCCAAAAACCGATTATTATCCCATCCATACAAATCAACATCCTTGATATTATAAGTAAATATTAGGTTAATTTTTAACTACCCTCTCTAGTGAAAGGTTGAAACAACAATTACCCAGGGTATTATTTTAGTAAGTACGGTAGTTTAATTAATTTCCAATTTTTAGTCAAGCTCTTATTTAGGTTATTTTTAATTATATATCTTTTAGATTGATCAAGAAATTTTATTTTTCTATATAAAATATTCTCTAGTATTCCAAGTCTATTAAGATAATCCTACCTGATTCCATGCCATTTCACAAAGAATACCACCCAACCCAACACTTAATGTATTATGTCCTTGATCTCGTCCCGCCTCCTGTGTTTGTCCAAAATACCCAGGATGGAGATAATAAATAAATTGAGAACTTGCACCCCAATACCAATCACTTTTGTAGACTCTAATCTTTAAAAAGAATAATGAAATATTTAAAATAATTTCCATTTATTTTTTACAGCTTCATTAAACATTGTTCTATTATCAGTCAATACCCCAACAGCAATTGCCATTCCAATTTGAGCCAAATCCCAGTTTGAATAATAAAAACGTTTACTTCCACTTGTTGGTTGATTACCTAATATTCTACCCCAGCCGGCATTAAAGAAAATATTTACCATCATTCCCTTTAAAAATAAACTAATTATTAATCAGCCCTTATATGAACGCATTATTAGTTGAAAATTTAGAAAAATGATTATTAAATCATTGAAACTAATTTTAGATTTTTCATGTATTCATACATATCCCCTCATTTTTTCAAAAATTATTACTTAAATTACCTTAAATTTATTAAATTCTTCAGCTTTCCAACCCTTATATGAACGCATTATTTCCCCAACATTAGCAAAATGGGAACCATATATACCACCTGCCAACGCTATATCATTATTTCCTTGTATGGATGTTAATGTTGATGACCTTTTTATTTTAAAATATTTTATTATATTTGAAACGAGAAAAACCAAGCATTCATTATTTCAACAGATTTATCAGCATAACTTGTATTTCCTGTTATTTTCCAATTTATAGCAGCACAATAAGCTGCAGCAATATCTTGACACAAAGTTATGTAATTTTGAGGGAATCCAATGCCTCGATAAATTATTTTTTGAGGGCGAGGAGAATAATTTGGACTATTAAAAAATTTGAAAAATAATTTTCAGATTAAAAATTTATTAATGTAATAATCAAAAATATATTTCTTTTAATTAAATTACCGAGCAAATCTACTTGTATTAAATTGTTTCCAAGCAGATAGCCACGGCTCTTCTTTTAATTCTATTTTCTTTTTAATTCTCTCAAAATCTTCGTTAGTATGTAATAATCCTGGATGAACAAATTTTTCATCAGCAATTGAAAAATAAACGAAAAAATGGATAAATACTCCAAAAATAATAATTATTTTCATTACCTATTTGAAAGAAAGAATATTTTTAAAAAATTATTTTTAATTTAATTTATGCCGGAAAATTAATTATTATTAGACAATTTTAAATAATAATTAGACAATTTTAAATAATAAACCACAAAAAAAATAAATTAAATTTTATTTATTTAAATGCTTATTTTAAAAATTTTAAATGCTTCCTTAAAAACTTTTTCTTAAAAATTCCTTAAAAAATTACTTCCTTAAATTAATTTATTTAAAAAATATTTTATTTATTTGTTCAGCAATTTCAACATTTTTTAAAAGCAATTTTTAGACAAAAAATTTATATCAGACAATTTAAAATTAAATTGATTTAAATATGTAAAAAAGATTAACGAAAAAGGAAGTAAAATTAAAAATATAGAAAGATGTTCGGCCCCCACTCATATTCTCCAAATCATAGTACCGAAGCCGTGCTGAATCCATACCCAGAATATAGAGGAATATTGGGAGGGGAGTATATTTGGACTTCCTAGGAAGAGCTTCAGGGTTGATCAGGTCCTTCAGCAATTCCCCATACTCAAATATACACAAACACACACCGGCCGGTGGAAACCCTTATTTAATAATTTAATACACGTTCATAATATTTACTAAACACAAAACTAACTAACTAACAATAAAAGTGATCGAAATCAAATGTGTGAAAAAGGGGCGGGATTTAAAATTGCATGAAATAGAAATAAATTGGATATGAATACAAACTCCAAAAACACAAACTCTGAACATGCTCAATACCGGGTTCTACCTTACACGTCCCTTTCCCCATGAGACCGTCCCTGGTCTCTATCTAGACTTTTCAGACTCTAATTTCAAAACATTTTTCCCTCCTACTAGTAACCTGACCATTTCCTTTTCATACCGAATCAATAAGCTCTCTGATGCCTGGCTTAGCCTACTCCAAAAACACAAACTCTGAACATGCTCAATACCGGGTTCTACCTTACAATATTAAGATTACCATATAACCTGTATTAATTGCCTCTCCCTCAAATAATTACCCCACTTCAATTAATTACCCCATACAGCAATAGATTAAAACAATAATTACCCCCCCCCCCATCAGATGCTCTAAAACACGTTCAAATTTCAAACCTCGTATAATTACCCTCTCCTCGATTAATTACTCCCTTCAGCGGAAGGTCGAAACAATAATTACCCAGGGTAGTTATTAAAGGATATAAGGTATTCTTTTGATTTATTTTTTAATAAATAAAAATTATTAACTAAGTTTAAAAAATAAAAAAAAATGTTTTAATAAAAAAATCTTTTTCTATCAAAAAGTAATTAAGGAAAAGAATTTCTAGGAAACAAATCGCGACAGAGTGTATTTTAAAAATTTAAACTAAAAAATTATGATGCTCAAACTAAAATTAGCTCTCTTTTGGATTTTTAATGCTTAATTCTGTCCAAACAATGAGCCGATTTGACGACCCAAAACAAAAACAAATAATTATTAGTTCGAAAGAAAATTAGAAATTAATTGTGATTTATGTTTATATGACTATAACTAACTTCTAGTTTTTTTCTCTTTTTTGGATCCTTTCTTTTAAAACGTTTAAAAAATTCTGTTTAAGAATTTGTGAGCAATTTATTTTTTGGTTTTCAGATTTTTTAGAAATTAAAAAACCAAAGAATGATTATTCAAAATTTATTATAAGATATGCAAAATTTTATTCTTCATTATTTAAATTTACGACATTTTTAAAGAATTACATGTAAAACTAGGATAGAATTACCTAAAATAAGGTAACATCGAAATTTTAATAAAGAAACATTCCAATAATCACATTAATTCATTTATTTGTTTTTGATTAAGAACTCCTTGATATATTTTAAATCCATCAATTAATCCTCTAAAATTTAGTAAAAATAAATTAATATTTATTTGATAATTTTTAGATTTTTTAATTTTAGAAACAAAACAATTACCTAAAATAAGGGTAATGAAAAGGAATATAAAATTGAGAACGTCCAAGCCAATTATTTGTTGTGTTTCCAATACGGAAAGGCGGCATTGGATTGTTGGTTTGTCCAGCAACTGTACCATTTAAATAAAGAGTTAAATTCTCTCCAAGTTGTGTAACAGCCAAATGAATCCATTTATTTACACAATCTAATGATCCTTTGCCTTCAAAATTGTTTGGAAAATTTTTTAAAAAAAATCTTTCTTTACCCTGTATTCCATTTTCAGCAAATTCCCCGCCAACAGTACTTTTAAAGTGCCAATTTCCGTTATTAATTTGCATAGAAAATGCAATATAGTGACCTTGGCCTGCACCAAAATCAAACAAACGAGCATTTCTTGGAAGTTCCCCATTACAAAAAAGCTGAAATAATTGATGTTTTTTACAAGCAATGTGTTTTGATGAAATTTTGATATAATATTTGAATTTCTATTTTTTGCTAAAGATTAAGTAACGGTCTCGAATACATTTTGGCCAACTGAGCTTACGGGACGCTGCTTTCACCTTATCTTTTAATAGATATTAAACTCCCGCCTAAGCGTTTTAAATTCTACTGAATCTTTCTCTTCCTTACAATATATTATATTTATTTACCCAAGTAGCAATACTATAATCAGACAATTCACTTAAAAGATTATTTTCAAGTTCAGCATATTGCATATTTCCATTTAAAGAAAGTGCTGTCTGTTTTCCTTTAATTCCTACACCAACAGAAGCTCCATTAAATAATTTTATAGAAAATTTATTTTCACTCAAATCAATTGGTAAAGATTCATTAGATACATTTTTAAATGAAAGACTGAAATATAATTTTGTACCAATAAATGCTTTTGCAATATTTGAAGCTGCACATGTTGATCCATTGGTTAAAACCTTTAAAAAAGGGTAAATAAATTAATTTATTAATTTATTTTACTCTGTAATAAAATGTGCCCTTTCCTGGGGAATCTGTATATGTTAATATTTGTGTTCCAATTTTTTTCTTTATAGTCTTAAATTTATCATTAATTGTTGTAGAACGTTGAATCTGGAGAAAAATAAATTTAAAAATAAACTATATTTTTATTTGAAAGGAAAGTTAAGAAAGGGCTTAGCTAAAGTTTAGCCGCCGAGCAAGACTGCGACCTCTTCGTATTTATTGCTAGACTGGTTCGCTCACCACATACAGGAGCTCTACCACTGAGCTACGGGACATCGACGAATGATTTCTTTTTCCTTTTTAAGTCGTTTAACCCCCGCCTAACAAATAGGCGTTTTAAATGTTGCTAGGTGGATCATTCTTACAGTTTTAAAAAGTTTTTAGAAGAATTTTGTTTGATAAAATTATCCGAGAAAGGATTTAACTTCGTTATTAAACCCACCGAATAATTTATTGCATATACAGGGCCCCACCAATTTAATTCTACTTTTGTCCCATTCACTCTAGCTGTTAGCCCTTCTGGATAGCAAGACTCAGGAATTGGATCTTGTTGGTAGAGAAGTGTTCCAAATCCGAGGAAATCATAAGAACCTCCATTACCCGCATCACCATCGCCTATGCCTGCTAAAATATATTATAAATTATTACCTCTATCAAACTAATCTTTTAAAATCTTTTTCATCCAACTTTTTAATAATTATTTCGCTTACTTTCTGGGCGCAATGCTATAGCATATTTCTTTGACCAAGGTGCAGCAATACCCATTCTGTTTTCATAATGATTATAGATAAGTGACCAGATTTGGCGATTGTTGGGTTTCCCTGGTCCTAACATTGTTTGTACAACACCATCTCCATAAGAATTACCATAAGTAATATAAGGAACATCGGCAAAACCTTTTTAATTTTAAATATAAATATGAAAATATTAAAAAAAATTAGAAACCAGATCCATTAAAGTTGTAATTGACTTTAGCTGTATATTCAGCCCCAGCCAAAAACCGATTATTATCCCATCCATACAAATCAACATGCTTGAAATTAAATTATATCGAGTGTTAAACTAATATTAAATTAACAAATTAACATTTAAATGTAAATTTAAAAATTGATTTAGTCCCTTCTTATTAATTACACCTCAAGCCACCTGATTCCAAGCCATTTCACAAAGAATACCACCCAACCCAATGCTTAATGTGTTATGTCCTTGATCTCGTCCCGCTTCCTGCGTTTGACCAAAATACCCAGGATGGAGATAATAAATAAATTGAGAACTTGCACCCCAATACCAATCACTTTTGTAGACTCTAATCTTTAAAAACGATAAAATATTTAAAATAATTTTTTAAATTTTTTACAGCTTCATTAAACATAGTTCTATTATCAGTCAATACCCCAACAGCAATTGCCATTCCAATTTGAGCCAAATCCCAGCTCGAATAATAAAAAAATTTACTTCCACTTGTAGGTTGATTACTGGATATTAATCCCCAGCCAGCATTAAAGAAAATATTTGCCATCATTCCCTTAAAAGTGAATTTTAACTAGTTAAAAGTCTCTCTCTCTCCTCTTTCTCCTCATTTTTTTCAAAAAGATTACTTAAATTACCTTAAATTTATTAAAATCTTCAGCTTTCCAACCCTTATATGAGCGCATTATTTCCCCAACATTAGCAAAATGGGAACCATATATCCCCCCTGCCAACGCTATATCATTATTTCCTTGTATAGATGTTAATGTTGATGACCTTTTTATTTTAAAATATTTTTTTATATTTGAAACGAGAAAAACCAAGCATTCATTATTTCAACAGATTTATCAGCATAACTTGTATTTCCTGTTATTTTCCAATTTATGGCAGCACAATAAGCTGCAGCAATATCTTGACACAAAGTTATGTAATTTTCAGGGTATCCAATGCCTCGATAAACTATTTTTTGAGGGTGAGGAGAATAATTTGGACTAAAAAATTTTTAAATTTAGAATATCTCATCTTGTTTTTAAAATTTTCTGGGTGACAAACTCTTCATTCATCCCAACACCCTTCTTCTTTAATGATATGGAATATTATTTACAAAACGGTCAAAATCCCTTGATTTTCGTTAACAATAGGGTCAAAATAAATAAAAACTAGTATCTACGAGAAATCCTTAAGGGTCCTTTGCAGCCTTGTGTCTGAGGCAAATTTTGGTATAGGGACTGTATCTTTCAGAAGAATTCATTCCCTGCTCATAAGGCTAAAGTAATGCAAGGTGGGTGCGCTAGTGATGGTCGGTAGTGATGGTCGGGAGTTAAAAAAAGCCGAGAGTCGGGAACCGAGACCGAGACCGGGAATCAACCCCGAGACCGAGTCCCGAGTCGAGACCGAGAGTCGAGACCGAGAGTCGAGACCAAGAGATTAGGAGGGATATCACTTGATATACCCCTATATATTCTTTAAAATACTATACCACTATATATCCTTCATAATCTCCCAAATTCCTTGAATTTTTGTATTTTTTAAGGTTTTAAACCATAAATCCTCCAATTTCATTCATTTTCTGCGCCGCAGGCGAAAATTTTGAGAATTTTGGAGCTCGTGAAGCCAGATTTCTCCCATTTTCTGCGCCGCAAGTGATGATTTAGGCGCCTCATGCGAAAATTTTGGAAAATTTATGATAAAATTAAAATTTTTAATGTCTTTTCAAGTTTAAAATATTAAAAAAAATAAATTTTAAATCAAAATCAAAGTTAAAAGACATTTATTTTTGGAAAGAAAAATTTTTCAGCCTCGATTCTGCCCCTGGATTCGAACCCAGACTTAACAAAATATCTAAGTGATTGAAGTCAGTCACACTAACCACTCAACCAAAGAAGAACAAAAGAAAAATGGAGAAAATATAAATATTTCTTTCACTTTTCCTTAAAAAATTTAATGTCAAAGTACGCGAGGTACGAGTAAAATTCAAAAAAGTCCGTCATTAGGGGTGTAAGTTTAGTCTCGTTTTCCGAGACTAAAACACCGAGACCGAGACCGAGACCGAGAGCTCAAAAAACCCGGGAAATTTCCCGACTCGGGAACCGAGACCGGGAATCCCGACCATCACTAATGGTCGGGAGTTAAAAAAAGCCGAGAGTCGGGAACCGAGACCGAGACCGGGAATCAACCCCGAGACCGAGTCCCGGGTCGAGACCGAGAGTCGAGACCGAGAGTCGAGACCAAGAGATTAGGAGGGATATCACTTGATATACCCTATATATTCTTCAAAATACTATACCACTATATATCCTTCATAATCTCCCAAATTCCTTGAATTCTTGTATTTTTTAAGGTTTTAAGCCATAAATCCTCCAATTTCATTCATTTTCTGCGCCGCAGGCGAAAATTTTGAGAATTTTGGAGCTCGTGAAGCCAGATTTCTCCCATTTTCTGCGCCGCAAGTGAGGATTTAGGCGCCTCTTGCGAAAATTTTGGAAAATTTATGATAAAATTAAAATTTTTAATGTCTTTTCAAGTTTAAAATATTAAAAAAAATAAATTTTAAATCAAAATCAAAGTTAAAAGACATTTATTTTCGGAAAGAAAAATTTTTCAGCCTCGATTCTGCCCATGGATTCGAACCCAGACTTAACAAAATATCTAAGTGATTGAAGTCAGTCACACTAACCACTCAACCAAAGAACAACAAAAGAAAAATGGAGAAAATATAAATATTTCTTTCACTTTTCTTTAAAAAATTTAATGTCAAAGTACGCGAGGTACGAGTAAAATTCAAAAAAGTCCGTCATTAGGGGCAGGGCTGTGCGTCATGGCGTTTGGCGTTTGGCGTTTTGCGTTTTGGCGTTAATTTTGGCCGATTTTTGGCGTTTTGCGTTTGGCGTGATTTTCCGATTTTGGCGCGCCAAACGCCAAAAATATACACCCCTAATGATGGAATTTTTTTAAATAAATGGAGAAAGGGATGATCGAAAAAGGAAATTTTTCTGCGTACAGTCATCCAAAATTCTCAAAATTTTTGCCTGCGGCGCATAAAAAATGAAGAAATCTACTGCTTGGACTTCCAAAATTTTAAAAATTTTCGCCTGCGGCGCTTAAAGGAGGAAGCCCTTATCTTAAACTAATAGATGGTAGAAAAAAAACTTTAGTCCCGTCAATCGTTTACTCTCTTCATGACCTCTGTTATACTCATTACTCCCTTTATCCCTTCATATCCACCTTAATCTCAAGGAGTTCTATAAATTTCTTATTTTTTAAAATTTTTTAAAGGATGAATTTCGGCTTCTTTGCCTCCAAAATTCTCAAAAATTTCGTTCCGGCGGTAAAAAAGGATGAATTCTGGCTTCTGGGAATCTTGAAAATTAAAAAAATTTCGCCTGCGGCGCTAAAATGAGATGAACAGTGGTTTTTATGTCTTTATAGACTCTAAAAATTTTGGCGTTTGGCGTTTGGCGTTTGGCGTTTTGGCGTTGATTTTGGCCGATTTTTGGCGTTTGGCGTTTGGCGTGTTTTTAAAATTTAAAAAATTGGCGTTTGGCGTTTGGCGCGCCACGCGAAAATTTTGGCGCACAGCCCTGATTAGGGGTGTAAATTTAGTCTCGTTTTCCGAGACTAAAACACCGAGACCGAGACCGAGACCGAGAGCTCAAAAAACCCGGGAAATTTCCCGACTCGGGAACCGAGACCGGGAATCCCGACCATCACTAGGGTGCGCAGCAAATTTGCTCTGTTTTAACTCGTCTCAAATATGTCCACCGTACTCGCCTGATTTGAATACGATTGATTAATTCTTCAGTTATTTTTGAGGGAAGGGTCAGTTCTTAATAACCCAAATGTTTCAACACGCTCCTGTAATCGCTAGTTTGGGAATTTCTTGACACCCTGTATTAATAAAATCAAAGAAATTACCGAGCAAATCTACTTGTATTAAATTGTCTCCAAGCAGATAGCCACGGTTCCTCTTTTAATTCTATTTTCTTTTTAATTCTCTCAAAATCTTCGTCAGTATGTAATAATCCTGGATGAACAAATTTTTCATCAGCAGTTGAAAAATAAGCAAAAAAATGGATAAATACTCCAAAAATAATAATTATTTTCATTACCTATTTTAAAGAAAGAATATTTTTTGAAAATTATTTTTAATATAATTATGCCGAAAAATTAAGCATTTTATATATTAATTTTATTAGACTATTTTAAAAATAAAATACATAAAAGAATAATTAAAATTATCCAAATTTATTTATTTAGATGCTTTAACTTTTCCTTAAAAATTCCTTAAAAAATTACTTCCTTAAATTAATTTATTTAAAATATTTTTTTATTTGTTCAGCAATTTCAGCATTTGTAAAAGGCAATTTTAAAAATTAATTTCAGCTAATTTCAAAATTAAATAGATTTAAATATTTAGATAAAGATTAACGAAAAAGGAAATAAAATTTAAAAAATATTTAGATTATTTTTTTGATTTATTTATATATCGAAATCCGAAAATCAAGACGTCTTTAACGTAGACGTCTTTAAAAAATATTTTCGACCCCATACAGGTAAAATAAAAATTTCATTTTGGGCTTATTTGAAAGCCTTGGAAGTTGCTACATTTTCTAAAGCTCATCATCCAGGAAGGATCTTTCTTCGAGATA